CAGCGTAGGAGATAATCAGCTTAGGCTGTAGTACAGAATTATCCTGAGCAACTGAGAAACAGCAGCAGCAGGTAGAATGTTGTGCCCGCTACTGTTGATTTCCTTCAGTTCTTCAGATCTAGTCTTGGTTTGTGGCACTATGGGGAAGTCCATCAGAATTAAAATAGTGACTAGCCCCACAGATACTCAAACTGCCACCAGATAAATGTATGTCGGGAAACATACAAGAGGGGTATTTTAATACTCATTTCAACTAGAATTGGTTTTTTATCATATCTCAATAGATAACAGCCTGGCATAAACATTTATTTTTTTCCACTTATTGCATTGACTTACTGACACAGTATTCTCTTTACCTTGTATTTCAGCTTTTACGTAGAGTAGTAGCCAGATAAAATCTAGGCTGAAATTTTCATATCAGATCTGGATTTGGAAATTAACAAATAACATCCTGATCTTTTTCCAAAACAAATATTTCACATTTCAAATGGCTGAGGGGTTGAATCTATGAGCCATTTTTCAAATAAATTATTTAGTTATTATAAAGGTTTGCCCAAATTGTTTACAGGGTCAAAAATTTTTATTTACTATTGGTTACCATGTATGAGAAACAATGAATAATAAAAGATTCCAAATATAATTGTTCATTTGATTTTTTTTAAAAAAATATTGGTTATCACTTGCTTTTGCTAATTTACCATTTCAATATACACTCTTATAAATTAATTACAGTTGTATGATGGACATTCAACATGTACACATCAACTGTTGCATTTGAGAGATAAGACACCACAAAATCAACAGATGTTCACACTAATTGAACAGCCTTCCTGCTGATATTCTTGGTTGAATTCCATACTAATTATCTCTTTATACATATTCTAAAAGAGTTCCATTCTTCATGTGCTAAATGGTTCCTAAACACAATAGGAATTTTTGGTAGAGTGTTGCCCAGTTTCCCATGGTTTTCTTCTGTGAATGAAAGACTGATTAGTCTGAAAAAGGACGGAAGGGAATCAGCCTGTGATCTTTCAAAAATCAACCTGCAGATATTATTGAATGCACCCATCAAACCAATATCACTATAACCGACATAATTTCCTAATGGCTGTGGAGATTTTCCTGTTAGTTTATCAGGCAATTTTAAATAATTGGATCAAATATGGTCTTTGAAGTTATATTTTGTTGTGGTAGTAGGGCCTACCTATTGTTCACTACTGCAAATTCACGTGCACAGAAAAATCAAATTGAGATTTATTTTTAAGTGCTCAAAGGCAAGAGGAGAATTCTAGACCAAGGAAGAAATTTAGATTGCTCAATATTCTGTTATAACCAATTATAATTGGTTAATTTTTAAGATGATCCAGATTTTGGTGATAGTTAGGAACAACAATATTTTATTAGAATGACCTAATACAGTGACGGCAAACCTTTTCGGCACAGAGTGCCCACACAGGAACGTGTGCGTGCGCCGCAGCCCTGGAAATTCGAAAACTAGTTGCAGGTGTACCAGAACGCACATGAGCACCAGCCACCTGATCTTCTGGTTTCCGGTGTGCACATGTGCACTGGCCAGCTGGTCTTCACATCCGCCGGAGCCCCGGAAACCCAAAGACCAGCTGGCCGGTGTGCATGTATATTCTGGCCAGCTGGTCGTCAGGTTTCCTGCACGCACATATGTGCCAGCCAGCTGGTCTTCATGGATGCCGGAGCGCTGGAAACCCAAAGACCAGGTGGCTGGTGCGTGTGCCCACAGAGAGGGCTCTGCATTTTACCTCTGGCACACATGCCATAGGTTCGCCATCATGGACCTAATACAACCCAAAATCCAAATGACTACTAGGTTTCATAGTTTAAGACTCTGTGGGAGGGAAATGGGGAAGGAGGAGTTAAAATGACGTGAGAAGAGGCAACACATCTCAGATGTTGGGACTGTGGGAAGGAAACTTTCAAACAGACTCTGCCTTAATTGGCTCGTTATAAGTCTGCCTGGGAATTTGCTCTTAAGAGTTTTCAAGATTATGTTTTTATCCCCAGACTAGAAATCCATATTTGTTCTCACTTCTTGCAGTTTGTCAACTATGTGGGGGCTCACAGACACTGTAAGATAAACTGCTACAGGTTTATATATATTAAACCACAGTTATTTTTCTCAAAGAAACCTTTATAAGCTGCAGAAGTATAATGTGAAACTGATTATTCCTAAAACATTTTCAGGACATAATTATTCAGTGTCAGAACAGACTACCAAACAAACCTATAACCTGACTTTTCAATGATTTTCCTCTTGCATTGGTTAGACTTTTCCAAAGGTGTTTTTTTTTTTTTTTTTTTGCTGCAGTAATCTCCTTATTTAATCTTCCCCTCACTTTGCCTGCAATTTTTTTAGTTTATTAATCCATTTGAGAACCAAGGATTTGAGAATTTATAAAATGCTGACAGAGTAAAAGTTGGATCAATTGCTTTGGGACATTAAAGGATAAAATGTGTTTAGATTAATGATGGTACAGTAGAGTTTAGTCTGCCTGAAATAGTCAGGAGACAAAGGGGCCACCGTGATTTGCTTTTTCAGTAAATGCTTAAAAAGGTCCTTGGATTAAACTTTTTTACTTTAATAAATGTGCACATGATTTATTATAAAATATTGAATAAAATGATTCCTGGCTTCAGCTACCAGTAGAAAGAAGAAAGAATGGAGGAAAAGATGGAAAGATGAAAATCTTCTTGAAGTCAAGTTTAAGTCCTAGTTACTTTAAAGCAATATGTCCCAATCTTGATAACTTCCTTCAGTACCAGAATTTCCCAGCTAGCATAGCTGTTGCTGAAAATTCTAGGAGTTTTCTTTCATAAAATTGAAAATTGCCAAGCCTAGAAAATGCTACTTTATGGACACATCCATGTCATTTGCAAAACATGATACTAAGAGCTGAACTTCTATTGTCCCATTCTCCATGGTAGTACTTGTAAGTAATTGTCAAGAATCAACAGGTCAAGAAACACAAGGACTAATTGATGCTCTCCTTTCATTAACTACTTTCAGTTCTCTCACTTTTACTTACATGAGGGGACTTCAAGATAAGATCTTGTAGGCAAAACAGTCATATGTACTATGATAGAGTTTTCTGTAGCTTCCTCAACCAAATCGTGAGACATTTGGACCCAGTGCATACTCTGGAGACTTGTATGGTCCACGATGCCTTAATTTATTCAAGGTGATCATTAAGACCATACTTTTCTGAAGCACTGATCCTGATGCAGATGTGGGTTTCAGCAAGTTCTGACCAGTTCTGGAGAACTGGTAGCAGAAATTTTGAGTAGTTTGGAGAACCGGTAGTAAAAATTCTGACTGGCCCCACCCTCATCTATTCTCTGCTTCCCAAGTCCCAGCTGATTGGGAGGAAATGGAGGTTTTGCAGTAACCTTCCCCTGGATTGGGATGGGAATGGACATTTTACAGTATCCTTCCCCTGCCACGCCCACCAAGCCACATCCACCAAGCCATGCCATGCCCACCAAGCCACACCCACAGAACTGGTAGTAAAAAATTTTGAAACCCACCACTGTCCTGATGGTCAGTGGGCAACATGGAATGAGCACTGGAGACAGTGCAGCGATCTGGACAGCCTGTTGCCTTGTTTGGAGGAAGAATAAGTGGCTCAAGCAGAGAATTTGTTCCTCATGGCAGGCTAATATATTTACTGCTCCAATTTATATTCTGTCAGAACTTCAGTCCACATGACATACTTTCAACTCCCAGAAAAGAGCAAATTCGTATAAAACCCAGTAAGCACAGTTATGTGCACTTGGCAGTAACTTGAACGAGATGTGGTAAAATGTCTTTGAAAAAAGAGAAGATTCTCTTAGAATAAGAATGCATGGCTATTTCTGTATTAATTCTAAATGTCATTCTATTAGCTTGAGGGTGTCCAGTTTAAAAGTGTTCCTTGCAGTCTAAGGGAATAGTAATAATTCTCCTGGTATTTGAATATGGGGTCTCTAAACCTTAACCTGGTTTAAATTCTTTATGCATTTAGATAACTTTGGGGCTAGTAGCAAAAAAGCTCAGTGCTGTCTAGTTCCTGAAAAAAAAAAAAAAGCATTAGGTCAGAAGGGATGCTCTCATTGATGATGAAACCACTGTGCATTTTGCATCCTTTCCTTGTTAGTCAGGCAGGCTTAAGCAGCTTGCTTCACCCTAAAGCCCAGCAACGTTGATCTTGAGTATAATTTAAATAAATTGTGATGCCATGTGAACCTCTAATTCCTACAAGTTTTCCACCAACTTTATGTCTCGGCATGACTTCCCTAAAAAAAATACACCTATAAACCCATCCCAAATAATAAGTGTTGAAATTCTTTTGTCCTGTCTTGTAGATAAAGAGGCAGAATGTATTAGCCTTCCTGCTATTTGTTTCCATCCTTTCCTACCTACAGGGATGATGCCGGTCAAAAACGTTTGATGGATATCAATTAGGTTCCCGTCAAGTGTCATACTTCGTTAACCCATTTTTAAGCCTTAACCACTTTCCTTTTCTTTCCCTTTTTACCGCTTTTCTCTTCACGCCCATTCCCACTTTCTCTGGCTCTACCATTCCAGCGACGCTTCCCCGCCTTCCCCCCCCCGTCCCCCGTCCCCCGTCCCCATCCTCATCCGCTCTTGTTTGACAGAAGGAAGACGGCGCCGAGCAAAGACAGTCATGCGCAATGAGGCAGCTAAGCAGTCGCATTTCTACGGAGAGCACATGGCAAGCCTGAGAAGGCGAAACGTGCCGCAACGTCCGGCTTGAGAGACGCGCAGCAGGGTGGGGTTCTTGGGCTAGTAGCCGGGCGGCGGGGTATGAGAACCAGGGCTGGTTGTAAATGCGCTGCTTTGTTGGCCAAACACTCCGGCGTGTCTGCTACTAGGTGGGTCTAAGGGGAGCGAGGAAAAGAAAGGAGCGTGGGTCGCCCTTAGGCCAAAGGGAGAACCCCTTACGCTGTCTCTTCCTTTGGGGGGCGGGGGGGGGGTTGCCGCCTGCGCTGCAGGCTGCCTGCGTCAAAGGAGGTGCGGCTCTCCTTGCCCTGCCTTCCCCCCCTCTTACCTCCCCCCTCTCCCCCGACTTTAAACGCCCATCCTCGGAAGCGCCGCGCACATGTCTCCTTTCGCCTCGCACATTAACGCGCGCGCACGCACACACACACACACCAGCGCGCCTGCCGGTGCAGCCACACTCGGATTCCTCGTTGCGCCGACCTGCGCCACATTGCAGGAGGTGCTGGAGGACGCGAGGGAGAGCCGCCCGAGGCACGCTGGGTGCCCCTCACTTCCGAGAGCAGGTAAGCCCCGGGAGGGGGGGGGATCTCAAAAAACAAAAACAAAACCCAAACAAAAAACGTTCCGACATGGGTGCGGCGTGAAAGGGAAAGTGAGCAAGGCGACGAGAAGCTGCCATCCACGCTCGCCCAATTAGGGACTAGAGATCTAGCCGAGGAAGCCTTCAGGGTTATGCCAAGCCCTACAAATGGATGGGCATGTAGGTAAATCTCAGATTTCCTCAGCTTTCGAAGGAGCGTTCTCGACAACCTTCTGCGTAATTTGGGAAGGGAACCGTCGGGAGATCGGGGGATGGCAACCCAAACCAAGAGTGCCCGCAGGAGGGGAAGAAAGCGGAATGAATCGATAATTATAGGACGTTCCCATCAATGCTGAGCGTTGTCTACACCCACCCCCTCCTCCCCCACCCCCACCCCCACCTTCCCATCTTTGGAAGAGGATCATCGGGGTAAACTTTCTCGCGGTTGAAATCGAAATGTGTTAAAATGACATTGCAGAAAGAAAAGGAAGAGAATCAACGATCCCGGCTGCTTACGGAAAGCAAGCAGATGCCACCAAAATCCCCAGCAGGAAACACCCTATTGGTCAGACAGAAGAGGAATTCGGGACGGTCTGGAGAGGCTAACGGGGGGAACCGATACGGGAGGAGAAAGGCAATTGGGGGGTGGGGTGGGGGAGAAGGGAAAATCGGGAATTCTTAGGCGAGTACCCATTTAAGGCCGAAGTGGCCCATTCTGCACACAACCTTATCCTTAGCGCGAGAGAGCTGTCCCGGGAATCGGTGCTCCTTCAGCTTCCCGCTCTCTTTAAGAGGCTTCTCTACCTTGGAGGAAATCTTCAGGTTCGGGCGGTTTGATTCGCGGCCGATCAGAATATTGGGAAGAAAAGGCGGCATTTCATGCAGTTATGCATAGTGGATGTTGCATCAGGAGAGAGCATGGCTTTTCGATTCCGGCGTGCTGGTTTAACTGCCTCCCCCCCCCCCGCCCCCGCATTCGCAACGTTTATTGTGTCTGTTGTGTCCCCTCGCTTTGTCACCGGGTGCTTCTCCCCATTATCAGAGGTGCGACCTGAGAATCCGCCGCAGGGTCGTTTGTGCAGCGTATTAGTCCGAAACTGATACTTTAAAAAGGATCCTGATCGATCAGGAGAACGCGAGAAACACCGCCTAGGATGCTTTTCAGTGAACTCGGAGCGGGAAACTGTGTGTGTGTGGAGGGGGGGGGGACGGGGACACGAGTCTGGCTCGCACAGTGTCCACAAAAGGTACCGAGGAAAAAAACAACAACCCACTTCAGGATGGTGGTTGACAACGGAGGGAAGGTAGGATGTTGATGCTGTGCTGCTCATCATATGGAGCTGTCCAATGACAATTCGCAATAGGGGGTGGATCCAAGGTTCAGCTTCCCTGTGCATCCCTAATTCCACCCTGCCTGGAATAGGAATGGAGACGCTGGTGCGATCCTGGTACATAGTGACATCAGCATGTTTGGGTAGGTATGTTAATGAGCAGTTCTCATTGTCTGCTGCACTTGCTCCCTTCCCAGTTACCAAATGAGAGGCCATTCGTTAGACATCATTGTGACATTGTGACATGTCTTCTAGGCTTATCTAACTTATTTGCAAATATTATTTCCTTAAGGAAGATCTGAGGTTAATTGATCACTTGTTGTGTATTGTAGAGGCAGCAACAGTCAAATATATGAATTACATAAAATAATGGTATATTTACATATTCTACATGTATCATACTGCATTTGATGCACTTCCGTATCTGTTCTTATCTGTATATACATTTAACACAACTCACTGAAATCAAACTCTACTGTTCCCATCTTCTTGCGCTGATTATCCACACCACAAATTTTGACTGACTTGTAGAACAATAAATCTTGGTGAACACAATTCTTCTTACTTTGAAATATATACTGGAGTTACACATTTAACTGACTAATAAACTGAGGACATGGAAAAGAATTTGGGTTCTTTATTAGCAGTTTTTAGACAACTCATGACCTGTTAAATGTTCTTTTAGATATATTTCCTTTCCTAAATGGAGAAACAGAATGACTACGGGCAAATTACAATTGTTTTGGTTTTAAAATTACAGAAGAAAGCATTTTATTAAAGAAGATGCATAGCAAGAAAAATATAGATGTCCTTTGTTTGACAAAGGACATTTTTGATGACAACATTTGTGGCTGATCTGTCATTCTTTAAGAATACTCTAATATTTTCAACTATTTTTCCTTGGCTTAAAATAACATACCAGAGACCATGCTGGAATACTGTTTTTTTCCAGATAAGTCAGCACATTTATCATTGTTTGCTCTTGTGCTTTATGTATAGTGAGAGCAAAACATGATTATATTGCGAACTGTGCCCACTGAAGCAGGATAGTTTCACCTTCTAATAAATTGAGTGCAATTCTTGGAATCACGACAATGTCACTTTTGAGCGCTCTAATGTATATCTTTACTACAGTGTCATTCTTGTGGAGTTCTTCCATGATCATCTGCATTCTATTTTAAAGCTTTAGAAAACCCATCATTAAAGTAATGGGAGCTTCTATCTTCAATTCTAATTTACCTGGTGCCAATCCAGAGAATTCAACTGTAACAAGGAGTTCTGTTGAAAAATGAGTGACATAAATTCCTTCATTGACAGCATTGAAGGAAAAATATTCTTTTATCATTCCTGAGAAGAACGTAATGTATGTCGATTTGATTTTTATAGAATAGAATAGGAATAGAATAGAATAGAATTTTTTATTGGCCAAGCGTGATTGGACACACAAGGAATTTGTCTTGGTGAATATGCTCTCAGTGTACATAAAAGAAAAGATATGTTCATCAAGAATCATAAGGTACAACACTTAATGATAGTCATAGGGTACAAATAAGCAATCAGGAAACTATCAATATCAATAAATTGTAAGGATAGAAGCAACAAAATTACAGTCATCCAGTCATAAGTGGAAGGAGATGGGTGATGGGAACGATGAGAAGATTAATAGTAGTGCAGACTTAGTAAATAGTTTGACAGTGTTGAGGGAATTATTTGTTTAGCAGAGTGATGGCGTTCGGGAAAAAACTGTTCTTGTGTCTAGTTGTTCTGGTGTGCAGTGTTCTACAGCATTGTTTTGAGGAAGGCGTTGAAACAGTTTATGTCCAGGATATAAGGGGTATGTAATCATCATTTTATTGAGGCGAACCAAAATAGAATTCTTTAAGAACAGTTCTGCAGGATTGCTAAACATTGGGTAGATGAAACCTATGCATTCTGCAATAGTTTTTGCTGGAAGAACCTTATCTTCAGGTACTTCTATTTCAGCATTTTAATTTTGTCTTCTTCAGCATCCAGGAAGAACTCAGAATATCTTACTTCACCCTCACTCAGTCACATATTTTTCTTCAATTAAAATTTGACAAAGCTTCTTCATAAGTATCCCTTTTTGGTGCATAAATTCTCCACATCAGTATCATTTCCTCTTTTCACAACTGGTAGAAGCTGATGGAAATCGCCACAACAATTTCCCCAAAGGCCTCATTCTTACCACACTCCTCATCAGAGAGCTCTTATTCCAGACAATAAGCCTTGCATGCCGAAGTAAATTTCCACTATTGGAGGATATTTTTAAAGTTACAGAGAACATTTTCATTTACTTTGAGCAGTATCTTGAATCATGAATGTGCTGACCTACCACCAGGCATCAGTGCTGCTGCAATACTGGGTGATGTTATAGCAACAGCAAGTTCTCCATCTCCCTTAACTTTAAAAAGTAAAAGTTTCCCTGTCAGTCATGTCTGACTCTAGAGCACGTCATCAACACAATTTCCATGGTCATGTGACCAGAATCGCTATGTGTCAAAGGTGCATGGAACACTGTTACCTTTCCATGGAAGTAGTACCCATTAATCTACTTCTATTTGCATACTTTGAAACTGCTAGGTGGGCAGGAGCTGGGGCCAATAATGGAAACTTTACTTCCCCCATTGTGGGAAGCTCGGGTCTCAAATCCAGGCTGTCAGCACTCCAGCTGATAAGTTCAACATCTTTAATGGCTGATCCATCGTGCCCTTTACCCCCTAACTTTAGCAACTTCTTTGTCATCAAAGAATGTCATTTGGAAGTGGCAGTATTGTCTGATGTTCTTCCTGAACTTGTTTGCAATACATCATTGCTACAGTATATAAATCGAGTTCATTAAATAAAAATTGTAGATTGCCTATTCTGACCTTTCCCTTCCTACAATAGGAATTGGTGGTTTTTCCAGGGAATAGGAATATACAACAGTGAGGACAGACTTTAGCCATACTTCAGCAGAAATATTGCATCATGCAAGTTGTGCATTTTGCCTTGCTCTTTCTCTATTGAAGCCTTGTTGTTGAAGATGACTATTGTTGTGTTGAGGAACTCTTCCAGTGATTAGTGGTTGCCAAATATTCTCAAGTTGATCTTTTCTTCCCTTCTCCAGCTTTTCTTATCTCCTTATTCTGTACCTTTCCTTGTGATTCTGGACATGTACAGCCTTTCATCCTCAATTTCTTCAATCTTCTCCTCCTTGCTGCATTCCAATAATGTTTGGTGTCATATCTTGATCATGATACCCCACTTCTCTTTCCATGTGGCATAATTATGCAGACAATATTTTAATGTAATTATACTTCACTACAATATTGTACATTACCATTCTCACCTCAGGACAGTTTAGAATTCCTGCCATCTTCTCTGCTGAATTGTAGGAAGAGACATCCCAAAGGTGCTTTTTTTCAAAAGGCAACTGAACTTTGTTTTGCTTGAAAAAAGAAAGAAAGAAAGTCCAGTTACCTTTAAACAAAAGCACCTTTGGGACAATCATGTCCTGGATGTCTGAGAATCTCCATAGACATATAGAAAGAGACAGTTTAAAAATAAGATCATATGATCTCCTGAGGGCTAGAGCAGGATTGTGATCTCTAGTGGCCAAAGAAGGGGATGATCTACACACAGTTTCAGAGTAGGAAGCAATTGAAAAATGAAACTGAATGAGCAATGAGTTAAGGCAGGGGTCCTCAAACTTTTTAAACAGGGGGCCAATTCATGGTCCCTCAGACTGTTCGGGGGCCGGACCAGCTGGGTGGGAGTGGCTAGGTGGTCATGTGACGGTGCGCATGGCCAATTTAGCAGTCCAAACAATACACACAAATTAAATTTTAATTTGTTATGCTCTTGTTAGTGAAGGGATGTGGCTGCGTTGGGATGTGTATGAGGGACGTGTGTGTGTGTGTGCGCGCCACTCTCTCTGGAGGCCGGGGAGTCAAAAAACTGGCCCATTTTTTGCCTCCAGAGGCCTCTGCATGTCCCGTTTTTGACTTCCCTGGCCTCCAGAAGGTGGGTGGGGGCCAGCAGGTAGGCAGAGTGATGTGGTGGGGCAGCCTTGTGGTCCTGCGGGCCAGATTAATGGCTTCGTCGGGCTGCATCCAGCCTGCGGGCCGTAGTTTGAGGACCCCTGATTTAAGGTATATAGTAACTAATGTATTTGACCAGAGAGATCCAGTTTCTACTTCATCTATAGTACAGCAGCTCACTTGGTGACTTTCAGCCCATTCTACTTCACAGAGTTGCTGTGAAGAAATATAGCAGGATGGAGGATTATTTATATGCCTTGAGTTCCTGAAGAGAGATAGGTTATAAAATATAAATATATGCACGTTTGTTTGCCAGAGAAGGGGTATATAAAGCAATAAAAATATCCCACTTTTCTTCAAGCACTTTACATTTGTTGCTTCTTTAAAGGTCACATGATGTGTCAATTCCTTTCTGCCGGGTGGGGGATAGAGTGAGGAATTGTGAATCTGGCTGGGAAATTGTCATGGGATATTTAAAATGAGGATCATGTGACCACAGCAGCTCCATAGCATAGGAGCAGCCGATAGCATTGAATCAGCCACAATTTCCCTAAATTTTGTTCCCTCGGGAGTCATAGATTCTGAATTTTGGATGCATTCTGTAGATTAATCCATTTGAGATACTTTGGTTCAAAAATGGTTGCCCTATGATACAAAGTTTGGCCCCAGTAAAGTTCACAACAATGAAAGTTTTAGTTGTAGATAGTTTTTGCTTTTTCATTTTTAAGGTGTTGAGTTTGCAGATAGGTAATGGTGAATTGGTAGTACTTTCAGACATGGTTTTGCATTGCTAAACCCTTAATTTTCCTGAGTGCATTGAGATTGGTGCATTGAGATTTTCCTGAGTGCATTTACATTGATATGTAAATAAAAACTGATGGGAAAAAAAGACAATTTAATTCATTCTCTGATGTATTTTATTTAGAACTTGAGTGATCAAACTGATGATAGAGCATTGAGATATTTCATCAGATTTTATGCTATGACTGTGCAGTAAGTTTTTAGCCTCCAGCCCTCATTACCTTTTAATACAAAACTTGAAACAGAAACTATCTTGAAAAAAAACTAACTAACTTGGAATGAAGGAAGTATGATGCAAAAATAATATTCAATTGCATCAGCAGATCATCAATTTACCTATTTACTGATACATGAAGAAATCTATTCACTGAAATAGATTATTATTTCCATTAAAAAGTAATAGATATAGTAATTATTGACAACTCAAAAAATACAGTAATTGATAGTGCTTTAAAATTTTTGAAATAATGTAATAACAAAAATTTTGTTACTATATGCCATATCCCTTTGTGCCTGAATAGTTGATTTTGAACAGTTCGAAGTATATTTTCAATTGATATTATCTTCATAGGCAAAACTTAGTGAGCAGAACTACAGAAGCACATACACATCACATACACACAATGTAATATATATGCATGTATATGTGTGTGTATACATAAACCTTTCTTGTTAGATTTTATTTTCAGATTTCCTACTCCAAGATTACTATTACTACTCCCTGATGAAAGAGTTTTGTGCATGTCAAAATAGCTTTTTTAATGGTGCTTAAAGGTAACATTCAGTGCACGATGTATACAATAGTAATTTTGTAAAATGGCAGTCACAGAGGATATGGTCAATTGCAAAATACTCCTTTATTAGAAATTAAATTGCTGAATTTCTGATATCCTGCCATGCCTAGCCTCTCAAAATACTCCAACCAAACCTGCTAATCTTTTTTCTGGTAAGAGAGCCTGCAATTATAGAAACCCTCCTTTTATGTGTATTTTTAAAATTGTTAATGGTAGTAGAATATAGTCAAAAGCTCATCCAAAAAATAAATGCAGGTAAGAATGAAAACCTAGCAGGACCCAGGCCAGGCTTGTGTTTATGCCGTTGGCATCCTTACTAATTCTCAGATACCATTTTTTTTTTTGCATAAGAAATATTAGTTAATTCATTTTTTTCCTCACTTCTTCACTCCTATAAATTGAGGTTGCACAGAAACTATTATCACTTGTTATCAGCTTTCAAGAGCCTGTCTCAAAGGAATCTTTGTGGAATGCAGGCATCAAAGTAAACATACTTTATATTCAACGTAAGTTATAAGTGTGACAATTTTCTTTTCCTAGAGGCAGAATATTGTCATATTCTGTAAAGTGGTGTTTATTTTTTGGCTTCAAGAGACCCTAAATTGAATTCTTTTAGATATTTTGAATAACCACTTCTATCATTAGCTGTTAGCCATATTGGTAAAGAATGGTGGGAATCATAAATCAAAGGTGTATAGTTAGGTAAATACTGATATACACAATAGCTTACAGAACATTTCAAATGCGTACTTTTTAAAACTTGAAATTATCCATCTTGAGTCTGCAAGTTTTAAAATCAAAACAGCTATTTTGAATTTAAACCACTTAAAAAAAAAGATTGGAGAAAATCTCATTTTTCAGAAAATCTCTGTTTTGTATACCCTTAATTGTTTGTCAAAGGCATGATTTACTAAGTTTTTTTCTTCTAAAGTATATCACATTAATTTTTTTGTATAGTATGCAAGATTCAGAAAAATGCTTGGAACTATGGAGCTCACACTTAATTAGAGTTTCATCTTTGGCTAATATGACCCTCTGATTAAATACTAAAGTTTTAATCTTTTTCTGTTTCTGCTCAGTAATTACTGCAATACTTTCATATTTGTGAGACTGCCCATCTACTCTCCCAACAATTGCAGTAGCTACTCAGAAATCTCTCATGAAATAAACTTGATCGATCAATTAATTATGTGCCATCACATTGTTTTCATCTCCTATAACCACATAGATAGACTTTTTCCATGATCTGACCTGTACTTGATTTTCCATCTCTGACCTGTACTTTCAAATCTTCCAGTGGGTGTGCTCATTGCCATTATTATCCACGTTGCTGCTGGCATAGAATATACTATTTCGGGTTTGTTTTATGTAGTAAGCTTTGTACTCACCTACTTCTTCTTATTGATTATCCTTTAAAGGAAAAGTATATTAAATTTTGAGTATTTTTTAAAAAAATTCCCCTCCACTTCATCTGCAACATTTTATTACCACTGAGCATCCACCATTAAATTGGCAGTGGAGATGACTTTTTCATTTTCTTTAAACATTTAAAATAAATCTCAGTGAGAAATAATGAGAACAAATTCAGTTCTGACTCTTATCTAAATAGATATTTTATTTTATTTTATTTTATTAGCCACATGGCGTAACTAAATTGATATAGGATGAGGTGTGGGACCCTCTTCAGAATAGACAGAAATCTTTTCAGTTTCTTACAATAGGTATCTCAGCTTGTAGAGTAGGAAACAAACTCAATAGGTAATAACTTCAATGTTCCTTTCAATTAGTAGATCTCCTTGCTCATATTTCCTTAAAGTTTTGATTTAAAATAATTATTATTCATCTTCTTAGCCAATTTCTCTGTAGGCTCTAACATCCCACTTATTTCCCAAGATCAAGCAACAGATTTGTCTTTTTTTTGGCAGTCTGCTTGCCAGGTGCAAGTTAGCAAAAGCACCTTCATTGATGTTTTTATCTGTATCCAACAGGGATTACTGGCTGAAAGGAAGATGTTGATATTTATTAATTGCATGAATAACATTAACGTTACAAGACAGAAAAATATGCAGAGTGAACTTATACATTAAAGTTCAAGAAGCAAAATGACATACTGTAGAGTCTTTATATTTTAAATAACATCCTGAAATCCAAAATCAAAAGGACACAAGATCATGAAATGCATCTATGTACAATTTAAGCTCTGTTTCTCCATAGCATTTTTAAAGCAGTAATTTATTAGGCATGAAGGTATACCAACATAATCGGACCTTCCTGTTTGAATATGTATTGGTCTCAACAGTCTATTTCCATTTAACCCCATCCAAACGAATATCAGCAAGAATATAATCATTTGTTGTGATTGAGTGGAACATATTTGAGAAAAAGCAGCCAAATCAAAGACACTAAACAGGGGCCAATTGCCTTGCTGAGTTGGACATTCAAAACTGCCTATTGAAACAATCTAGCTTTGTTTCATGTGTTTTTGGATATCATGATTTAGTTCATGTTTAGATCACCAAAAAAAACGATATTTAAATGTTTTGAGATTGAAATGCTCTGTGCATTTAACAACTGATGTAATAAAACAGTATTTTACAAGCTCAGAATAATTGCAAAATCCCTAAATTGGGCATTCTGGAAATAATAACTTTTTGGAGCTGTTGTCAGGGGTCACCTACCAAGCTGAATTGGCAGTTACTAAAGAGGAACTGAAGAATACAGAAAAATAGATTTCCAGGTAGTCCTCACTTACCAATAGCAATTGGGACTGGGAACTCTGTCACTGCAGACTGAGCAATGCAGTTGTAAGATACAATGTCAAGTGACAGTGCCAACTTACAATGGCAGTTTGAATACTCCCAGTTGCCATTGTTAGTGAACCCACATGGTTGCAGCACCCCATAGTGACATGGTTGCCATCTTTGACCTCTTTCCAGCTTGTCCATTAACTGCTTGTTGGAAACCAGTAGTGAAGGTCACAAATGGTGATAATGTGACCGCATGACGCTGCGACATCATAATTGCAAGCTGGTTGCCGGGCACCTGAGTTGTGATCACATGACCATGGGAGTGCTTCAGCGGGTGCCTCTATTACAACCCATCATACCTTATTCAGTACTGTCATAACTTGCTGTATGAGTAGATGTTAAGTGAAGACTACCTGCATTGTAGAAAAGCTAAAGAATGCCTTTTGAAACAATTCCAGGTACTGCAGTGGAACAAATGCAGGATTGATTTATGATGAAATCAAGATTAAATTCTCATGCTTCTTTACCTACCCACACAATATCATGGGTTATAAGCCCATCTTGTTTGGGAGGGAGAACAATTCCCACTCATCTCTGGTTTGGTAATAGCCGCAGCACCTGCAGGATCTTATTGTTTTCATCACAGTGATGAAAGTCACATCAGACCACAAGCTTTTCCCCCTTGGGGCATGTTGATTGCATCACTTTGACTTCCCCCTTGCCCACACTATGGATGCCATTAATTAACAGACTGATCTAGTATCAGGCTGTTGCTTGGGGCGAACCTAAAAGTGGCTTATACAGGAATACCCAGAATTATACTCACATAACCTTTTTACTAGTATGCAAACACTTCTGTATTTTGAAAATGCAAACCATTTATAAAACAATTAAGTTACTGCAACATTTATTTGGCTAGAAAACTGGCAATTATTTAAATTCAATAGTGAAATGTTATATATGCATACTTATCTTTAAATTGTTCTTTTTAATACTCATGCATACAGGCTTTCATCTAGAAGTGTTTAGGATTATAGATTTACTGCAAATTGTACAGATCCTAAAGATTTAATTTTTACAACATTGCCTTTAATTGTTAGCAGATCCAAGAAGTGCTGTTTTTATCTAGATCAGTTGACATATTTAGTAAAGGTTCAATTCAAGCTGCATACAGCTTGGATCTTCATCTGTTAGTAGCAGGTTGAGGGACAATTTGTTTCTGGAATATAGGAGAATAAGATCTGTGTGTAACAGATTTTCATAACAGGTTTTAACTAATATTTAAAGTGGAACATCTATTACATTTAAAAAGTATGTAATTGTTGTTTTTACAGAAGAATCTACCTATGGAATCATAATCAAGAACTTTGCTAGAGCTGATACTTGCAGTTTCTAGAATAATTCAAAATATTTGAAAGACACTCATACCACCAAGTGTTAAAGCTTCAGGCTAGAAACTGGGAGATTGTGAGTTGTAGTCTTGCTTTAGGCATAAAGCCAGCTGGATGACGTTGGATCAGTCATTCTCTCTCAACCCTGGGAAATAGGCAATGGAAAAACATTTCTGAAAACCTCTTCCATGAAAATTGCAGGGACTTGTCCAGGCAAATGCCAGGAGTTAAAAAAAAAAACAAACCCTGACTTGAAAGCACCAACAAATATAAACAAAGAGAGGAATAGCCTGATCTCAACCAGGAGACTGTTCAACAACATCAGCACAGCAGAACCTCCCCCCCAAATATGGGATCAATAATAGTTTATTCCTGTTTAACCTTTTGATTGGACCAATACTAATTGGAATAAATGATCAATGCAGATTGAGTATAGGTAATCCTCACTTAGCGACTATAATTGGGACCAGCAAATCCATGACTAAATGCCGCAGTCACTAAGCAGAAAATTGTGTGACCCTGATAGACTTATGTTGTCACTTCCCCATTTGGTCATTAAGTGAGAAATCATGTGGCTTCAACTTGCAATCTTATGTATGTGTGTGTGTGTGTGTGTATTCTTTTTAAAGAATGCTTATAAGTTGCAAACCAAAATATATATTTCCCTGAGCTTAACTCCAGCAAGTAAAGTTGGAAGACCAAGCCTCATTACACAGGTAAATCATAGAAGTCATTACACAGGTAAGTTCAGAGGGGAAGAGAACATTCACCAAAGAGGGCTCTTGCACTTTTTCATCCCATACTATGAGCAGTGTGTTGATGAATAAAAAATACATTGCCCCGAGTCTCCAATCCAAATGTGAAGAAACACTATTTTTTTGTGAGTGAACATTGATTGTATTTTCCAACAGCTCACCCCCTCAAACAGAGATACCAGGAAAACCTCCATGATGAGAAATTATACTGTTTTTGAATGGATAAATTTTCACTGAGTAGAACATGCTGAATAAAAGAATATTTATATACTAGCACCCTGACTTTAAGTTTTACTCTTTAACTATACAGTCTGAAATCTCCGAATTGCAGCTGCCACCTCATTCTATGTCTTATTTTTCCCCAGACAACCATACAAGAGTAGCACAATCTGATCGAGTATCAGTAGAAAGCCATTTATTCCTCTCTGGTCCTTCCATTTTAGACTGTACCTTTTTCCTAGAATACATGATTGCAGTTCAACATAGCTGTACAAAAAAATAAAATAAAATGATAAGGACAGTCATAACTTATACTCTTACCAAGCAAATGGCCATAGATTGCATTGACTTTCTGGAACCCCAAATTTGTGATTTTTTTGCAACATTAAAATAGAAATAAGAACAGGAGATGTTCACAGTCACTTAGTTTCCACCCTGAGTCTCCAACCCTATACCCCCTTCGCCAGTTTGTATTTTCTGTTATATAATAACAGTCTTTCTCTCTTTATCTCTCTTACATGCAGCTATTTATGCTAACAGCAAGCCATTACAAGCAGGAAGCAATTACAAACATTTTGATCCGGTTGCATAAAAGACTCACTGTGGACCGTTTCTTCAAGAAGTTTAAACTTTGCGAAATTCTATCCGGACTGAAGCTGGACAGCTTGTCTAAACCAAATCTCCTCTGGAATTTCCATTTCTTTATTGCAAATGCCTAAGAACAGCAAAGTAGTAAAAAGAGAGATAGATGATGATGTCATCGAATCAGTCAAGGATCTCTTATCCAATGAAGATTCTGTTGAGGATGCTTTTAAAAAAAGTGAATTGTCAGTTAATGATCCTGAGGACAAAGATGTAGATGTAGAAGAGGGATCTGATGTAGAAGATGAGCGACCAGCCTGGAACAGCAAACTTCAATATATTCTGGCCCAAGTTGGATTTTCTGTAGGCTTGGGAAATGTGTGGCGTTTTCCATACCTGTGTCAAAAAAACGGTGGAGGTAAGTCTGTCTGTTGTGCTCATGGACGTAGCTGATGTGCAATTCAATATTATTGGTCTCTGTTAGTTTCTCATCTCACTCCTGCACTGAGGTATTCAAACTGCTAATAAGCAATCCTTTTAAACATCTGAAAAGCAGCTGCTGATAGAGAGTGAGATTGATAATTCTGAAGACAGAGCAAGCAAATTGTCTATGAAGATTCTCAGTCATCCTGGTCATGGTTGTCCCAAAGCTGCTTTTTCCAGGAGGCAACTGGACTTTCTTGTTTTTTCTTTGAAGTTTTTTCTTTTGCACTTCAGTTTGATATGCAGACAACACAGACTCATCCCCAACAGCCTGTCTCTGTCTTCAACAGGGAAGGGACACAGGGCAGAAAACATTCTGCAGCCAACAAGGCTCTAGACCCATTTGCACTACTCAGGTGACCCTGAGGACACAGACAAACCTCCAAGTGGCCTCAGCGACTCTCTAAAAGAATGCAAATGACCAGTTCTCTGCAAGGAATATAAATCCTTCCATTCCCCACCATTCAGTCAGAGCTGAAGAAGCTTCTTAGATGAGAAGCGAAACGTCTTCAAAGAAAAAAACCAGAAAGTCCAGTTGCCTCCTGAAAAAAAGCATCTTCGGGATGAGCAAGCAAATTGTCTTCCTCTGCTAAAGACCTAAGGAAAATCTCTCCTCTATAGTTGATACTATATGGTGAGAAAATGCCCCACTGGTGCCAATAGGAGTTTTCTTATCAATGCAAAGAATAATTTTAAAAGAGCAATTTTCAGCAGAAACTCAGCAGTGGAAAATGTTTATTTATTTATTTATTTAATTTGTATACCGCCCTTCTCCCAGAAGGGACTCAGGGCGGTGAACAGCCAAAATTAAAAAACATACAAATGCAAAAGTTAAGATAATTAAAAGAATTAAATCATTGGCTACCCAAATTTAAAACCCCAAATCCATAAAATTTAAAATCCCAATTAAAAAACCATTTAGGCTAGGCCGGCTTGATGAAATAAAAACGTCTTCAGGGCTTTACGGAAGGTCCGGAGGTCCGGGGTCAATCGTATTCCAGGAGGCAGCTCATTCCACAGGGCGGGTGCCCCCACAGAGAAGGCTCGCCCCCTGGGGGCTGCCAGCCGACATTGCCTGACCGACGGCACCCCGAGGAGGCCCTCTCTGTGAGAGCGTATTGGCCGGTGGGAGGTTATCGGTAGCAGCAGGCGGTCTCGCAAATACCCTGGCCCTAAGCCATGGAGCGCTTTAAAGATGAGAACCAACACCTTAAAGCGCACCCGGAAGACCACCGGGAGCCAATGCAGCTCGTGCAGGAGAGGTGTTACGTGGGAGCGCCACGTCGCTCCCATAATCACCTGCGCGGCCGCATTCTGCACCAGCTGGAGCCTCCGGGTGCTCCTCAGGGGGAGCCCCATGTAGAGAGCGTTACAGTAGTCCAGGCGTGATGTAACCAAGGCATGAGTGACTGTGCACAAGGAGTCCCGATCCAGAAAGGGGCGCAACTGGCGTATCAGGCGAACCTGATAAAAAGCCCACCTGGCCACGGCCGTCATATGCTTTTCTAAGGACAGCCGTGTGTCCAGGAGGACGCCCAAGTTGAGAGCCCCCTCTGTGGGGGTCAGTGACTCGCCCCCAATAGTGCGAGCTGGCTATACCGGGATGCCGGCATCCACAGCCACTCGGTCTTGGAAGGGTTGAGCCGAAGCCTGTTCCTCCCCATCCAGACCCGCACGGCCTCCAGACACTGGGACATCACTTCGAGGGCATCATTGGGGTGGTCTGGGGTTGAACTCTCTTATGTGCTCTCCAGCTGAACTACTGATAATAAGTGGTCCATCCAATATCAGTAGCTTGCATTTTTATTTTTAAAAGTTTGCATGTTAAATAGTTGTATGAAAAGCATTACCTGGTTTGATCCCTGAATGTTTATATTTTTCACAATTACATTTTTAAAAAATCACTAAAGTTGATTGTAATTCAGAGACTTTCATAGTTTATACTGTGAAAATAAAAGATTACATATTACATTTGTTGAAGGTCCCTCACATGAAAATTACAAGAGCCCATTACAAGAATTGTGTGTATGTGTGTGCATGTGCGTGCGTCTGTAGAGATGTTATATAGCCATCCTGTCCTTTAATATGTTTTAAGGGGGAGATAGAAGTCATATAAAACATTATAGATGGGGCCATGATGTAACATCCATCTTTTTAAAAAAATAATGATTCTGTTTACTCAAAAGTTAACTTCACTGTATTTATGTAGAATTGTAGTATTAATCCTTTTGATAGAAAAACTACTTGCTGACATAGATATATTCATAATTAACTTCATGAATTGTTTATACTAGTATGGATCAGTAGTGTGTTCCACTTACCTTCGCTATCGGTTCAGAACTGTGAGCACACGCACACGCTCGCTTCGCTCATGTGCAGCTCTTCTGCACATGTGCAGAACCTTCTGCGCAAGCGCAGAGCGTCTGTGATGGGTGGGCGGAGCCTGCTGCCGCTGCCACTACCTGGTTCACCCGAACCAGGGTGAACTGGTAGAAACCCACCACTTTATGGATTAAAAAAAAGAGCTATTTGTGATTACTCCAGTCCTATATCAGTCTCAAGAATAAGAGAAAAAGAGAAAATTGGAATTTATAAGATTTTTAAGAGTTCCAGTTATAAGGTTTTTTAAACATTTTAATTTAATTTTTTTAAAAAAATACTATGTATTCTCCCCTCCCCCAAATCAATGTCTGAATCTTTTTAATTGGGATTTATTTCACCATTTTTTGAGAATAAACATCCACATTGCAAATTACAGGCAATTTTTCCTACAGTTGCAAAAGAGACGATCAATAGCTTCCTGCTGCTCTTCACAGTTACTAGATTTCATGTAATTAATGAATTGTTTGACACTGAAGCTAGCAGAGATATTTACTGATAGGTTGTTTGGTGTGCAATGTAATTATCTCGTAATCACTGCATGTAAACTATATAGGAAGAATTATGTACTAATTGTATATCTTATTCATGATATGTTTATTGGATAGTTGAACTTAAAAAGTTTTGGTTGTTCTCATTTATGGTTGCATCAATCAACCTAAAGCCAAGTTGGGGGCAACAACATTTTTTCCATACGCTACAAACCATTGGTGAAGGAATGGCATGTTATACCTATTACTGTCAAAAACTACATATTCATTTATATATCTATGTAAACATTTTTATCTCTAAAAAAATTCAAAGCAACAAATTACAGATGAATATTAAAGCAGTATATTCAAATAAAATAAGTCATACATTGGTTTCGTTTAAGACACAGTATTTGCAACTGATGGAATCGGGTAGCTTTCCTACTCTAAATACTGCAAAAGAAGGGAGAAAAATCTCTTCCCTTCCGGCTCATCTCTTGTACTTTTGAAGAAGAAAAATGTTACAAAAATGAATATCAGGTGGTTAAGCAGATGAGAGTTATTATTTTTGTTTAAGATCTTAAAGATAAGCACAACATAGCAAAATTAGGCTCTTTTTGGAAACAATTAAATATGTTCATCTGTGCTTTAATGTCATAATATCACTTGGACTTTGTTCTAAAGATTGTTCCGTATATGAATATTATTCATCCTCTGTTTGGCAGGTGCCTACCTTGTGCCCTATTTAATCTTGCTGCTGATCATAGGAATACCACTTTTTTTCCTGGAGCTTTCAGTGGGTCAAAGAATCCGCCGTGGGAGCATTGGAGTATGGAATTACATCAGTCCTAAGCTTGGTGGAATTGGATTTGCAAGTTGCATAGTAAGTGATTTCCGAATATGGGCTTCCCAACTCTTAATACGGAATGGAAAGTTCAGGTTATTTTGCTGTTTTAAGATTTCAACTTGTAGCATCAGTTCTAACTTTGTTATTCAAAGAAATGATGAGATCCATTCTTTGGGTGCGTCCAAGCAGAAGTTAGATTATTGCTATCTGTATGGAACAGTTTAACTTGGATTCCTACACAGATCAGGGAGTTGGACTGAATAGCCTAATGTAGCCTAATGTAGCCTGAATAGCCTAATGTAGCTCCTTTACATGTCTATGATTTTATAAAAGTTAAGATAAAAATCAGGACATATTGAAATGTAAAACTTAACTTCTTTCTATCAAGTAAGAGAAAATCGTTATTCTTCCATATCTTCTCCAAAGCTTTAGCAGTGCAGAGATGGTGATGCCTTATGCAGAGTACTATCTTCTCCATATTGCTGAACAATCTGAAAGAACCAGCATGTCTACATTAAACAAACAAACAAACAGTCTACAATCCTTCTTTTCCTAATAAACAGGGTGGGAGTCATTCACTTTTAACTACATTTAAGTTGTTCTGCTGTCAAATGATGAGTCTTGTGTTCAAAAATCACAAGATGAACTAATCCTGAACTAGCCCTATAATTTATTATTTATTTATTAAATTTATATGCTGCCTATCTCACTGTCTCAAGTGATAAAGATGCTGTACAAGTTTTGTCACCTGGTGGCACATTTTAGCTGTTTCTCACTGGAGAAGAAACAGCAGTGTTTCCCGTTTGCTGTTTCTTATGTGAGTCCTCAAGAAGCCGCAGAAGTGACAGGTTAACAAAATGATATTCTCAGAATGCAAAGGATCAAAATTATCAGGGTCTGATAGGCTCTGAGATACATATACGTGTGTGCATTTTACATATATATAAATATATATTACATAACATGCACAAGCATATATACAAATGTGCACACTGCAGACAAAAGTTGCTTTAAAACAAATAATAGAAAATAAGTTCACAAAAAATTGTCATTTTATTGAAAGGTTTTGGTGAAGTGATCTGAGAAATTTCTGGAATCAAAAAATATACATACATGAGGCATGACTGCCAACCCTTGGGAGAAGAAATCTGTTTGTCCTTGATCTGTACTGGACCTGTTGCTTCATCAATTCAGGAGATAATTGAACCAGACTAAATGGGCCACAAAGCAGGGTGAAATTTTATGTTCTGAGTCACAGAACATAGCTGAAGAGATGAATCGATCTGGGAACAATACAATGAGATTTCAGTATTTGCAGCTCTGTCAGAACAGGATGTGCAGTACTGGAAGAAAAAAAACCTAATAGACTTTTGGGGAACTCAAAAATGATTCAGAGTTTGGGCTAGGCATAAACACTGCAATTCTTGACTATTCTTCAAACCAACTCATAATTTTTCAAGGCTTTTGTGCCCCTAATTGAAGCACTGCATTAACTTAAAAATAGATTCCCTAAAAACAACAGAAACCTGGAAAACAAATTGGGCTAGGTTGATGAATAACAGAAGGATTAAGGGTGCCATAGTTAGACTGCAAAAAAAATCCAGGTACTGTAAATGTTAGAAAGCAGCCAAGAGTTAGTTTTCAGTTGCTTTTTGAAAAAGCATCTTTGGGACAGCTATGACCTGGCTGGTTGAGAATCTCCACCTATTTCCAGAAGGCTTCCATGCAGGAGTCAGATCTAGGTTCTAGGAAAACTGATTTTGCAATGCCCTTAACCCCCACTCCCCTCACCTGAAAAAAAGGGCATCACTGGCAGTTCTTCCTATGAAGTTTATATTGGATAGAATATTCTAATTGGACCTGAAGGGCACTTAAATTAAAACAAAAGCAGCACTTTGAATTGACCCAGAAACCAGCTAGTGTTTGTCTGTGAGCTGCAATGCAGGTCATATGCTCATGGTGAGGAGTACCATCCATCCAACAGGCTGCTGCATTCTGAATCAAAGATAGTTCACATAAAGTGCATTGCAATAATCCAAGTGTTTGCTAGGTTTATATGCCCCTACATTCATGTCTGACTCAGAACAACTTATAGACCTTCAAAACACTCCTGTATTTCAATTAACATTAAAACCTAACCAGAGGGCTGAGAATTTTGAGGGTCGTGTGCAGAATCTTAGCTATTCCTAGTACTGCACTCTTCTAGAGAAAGCTCTGATGTCGTTCCTGGGATCTATTGGAGCCACTCTCCCAGCTTAATGAGTCTATTGATAAGGACATGGGTCACTGTTGTGACATCTTTCTGTTCCAGATAGGACTGTAACTACTGCACTATCCAGAGCCGAGGAAGTGCCCAACAGCCAGAGCTTCCACTTACTTATTAAGCAGTAACCCTGCATCCAAGAGAACTCCTAACCGTAGAATTGCTCTTTGAGAGATACTGCTTCTCTGTCAAGAGAAAACCCCAGGGACGACAGGGAACAAATATCAGTTCTGTTTTACATGGGTTGCCATTTAATCTGTTTCTTCCACTCCAAATCAACAGTCTTAAGGAATCTCCCTTTAATGGTATATCTGGAATCTCTGGGTTGGCAATGCACAGTTGAATTTCACCCACATATTGATGATACTTCATCCTCTAACTGACTGTAGCTTTCTCAGTGGCTTTGTAAAGATACTAAAAAACAGTGGAGACTGGACCAAAAGAGTGGCCACTGAATTGATCTCTTCTGCCTTGCCACTGACTGAAATTGCTCATTAAGGAACCATTGAAAAGCAATGACTCCAATCCCCAGTCAGTTCAGGCAGTCTAGAGAGATGCCATATGCAATGGTATCCAAGGCTGATAAATCTAAAACAGGAGTAGGAGGGGTGCCAATTAAGTCCCAAAAAGATAAACCAAACAGGGCTGTCCTTTTCCTTTGTCCAGTCCTAAACAATGACTGAAAGAGATCTAGATAATCTTCTTCTAAGACATGTGGCACATCACAATAAGAGGAGTTTGGAGACTTCGCAGTAATTGCCAAAACCAGCCAATCCAGAAAGGGTCTCTTCAGTAGGAGGAACAGCACAGATATGTTAGCTTTTTATAGGGCACTGCATGTCAGAACAACTAGACACAAGGACAGTTTTTTCCCCCATGCCATCACTGTGCTAAACAATTAATTCCCACAACACTGTCAAACTATCTAAACAGGCAGTATTACCATCATTATATGGTACCAGATAATGGACCCAGATTGTTGGGGGCTATATGCCGACTCTATAAACCACTTAGAGAGGGCTGTAAAGCACTATGAAGTGATATATAAGTCTAAGTGCTATTGCTATTGCTATTATTCTCACCTTCCCTATTACCTATCTCCTTATCTTCTTATGACTATAACTTTGTTGCTTATCACTATTGCTGTACGGACATTGAGAGCTTATGCACCTGAAACAAATTCCTTGTGTGTTTAATCATACTTGGCCAATAAATAATTCTATTCTATTAATAAAAGTGCTGTGCACCAGAGCCGAGGTGGCACAGTGGTTAGAGTGCAGTACTTCAGGCTACTTCAGTTGACTGCTAGCTGCAGTTCGGCAGTTCAAATCTCACCGACTCAAGGTTGACTCAGCCTTCCATCTTTCTGAGGTGGGTAAAATGAGGACCCAGATTGTTGGGGGAAATATGCTGACTCTGTAAACCGCTTAGAGAGGGCTGTAAAAGCACTATGAAATGGTATATAAGTCTAAGTGCTATTGCTTCTGAAACATTTCTGAAACATGCACAGAACTAATGTGCATTTATGAAAACTGTTTTTTAAATTTTTGCTTCTTTCACAGGTATGCTTTTTTGTGGCCCTGTATTACAATGTCATCATTGGATGGAGTTTATTTTACTTTTCTCAGTCCTTTCAGCATCCATTACCATGGGACCAGTGTCCCTTAGTGAAAAATTCTTCACATACCTGTAAGTATTAAATGTAGTAATGTGTTGTCTTTTTTCTCTCTTTTAAATAATGTACTTTTTACTGAAGCCTTGTAAGTGTTGTTTTTTTTAAATAAAGAACAAAATGAAAAATAAATAGGCCTAGGTAATTTGGTTCACAATATTTTGATCGGGTAGCATTGCTAAATAAATTTGATTTCTCCCATCACCATTATTAGTTTTATAATAAAACTATTCTTATTAAACCCTGTATCCCATCATTAAGTATCGGAAGAATGACTAAGAGCTGGAGAGGCCAGTTAGATGAGCCATGTCTCTTTGTAATGATCTGGCAGATTAGAGAAGGCACTGCAGCATGTTGTAGAACTTCAATAGCTTCGTCATCCATCACATATTGAAATATAGTATGTTGAATTAATGTGCTGAATAGGATCAGAGAGACCCAACTTGAAGTCAACTCCCATTTGGTGACTTTGGACCACTCTTTCCCGGTTAAAGGAGAAGTCCTTGCAGATTTTACTCTGCTAGTTTGTTGCTGACTATAAAGGACAGTGTTCATTCGCATTTCTAGGCCATTGACCCAGGAGCCTGTCTGAAAACATTTCCACTGTCATGTGACCCACATAATGTCACGGAATGCTGTTACCTTCCCATCAAAGTGATACCTATTTATCTACTTGCGTTTGCATGTTTTCGAACTGCTAGGTTGGTGGCAGCTGGGGAAAGGACGGGATTTCACCCTGTCATGTTGCCCTCAGGTCTCCAGCCTACAAGCTGAGCATCTTAACAAGATGAGCCACTGTGCTGCCCTTTCCTGGTTAGCATATTAGCAAATCATGGTATATTGAGTGGCTGCTATTCACCAAAATGGACAATGTTAATGGGGAAATCATCAGGTTCCATTTTGAATATTAATCAAAGGAGTGCTATTATGGATTTGGCATTTAGAATAAATTACTCTGAAAACAAGATTTTCTTCCCATTCTTTTTACAATAGTCTTTCCCAATCTGTTGCCCTTGAGTATATTGTCCTATCAGTGAATGCAATACACTGGAGGAAATCTAGTTGGTGAAGATTAATCTATTACCTCAAAATTTATCATACATTCCAATTTTTTTATTATGCACATAGTGCAAAAAAAGAGAAGGGAATCTTCTAAAGAGCTCCACCAAAATGTGTGATCAATTTTAAAGTTGAGATCGAAATCATTGCAAACCCCAAATATTCTGACTGGAAACAAATGAAGTAAGTAACTTTTAAATGTAAAATTAAATTTAAATGTGAAGTGTTCTCTGGTTCATTTAATGGAAGAGCGTTAGAATTAATTGGCTTTAACAAACATGTTCTCATGTTAATGTCACTTCCCTTGACAGTGGAAAATGCATGTTCTGAAACCATTTTTTGCTGCATGCCAAATATTTTCTATTGCTTATAGACACAGTTTGTAAATAACTTTCAGGCTGAATTTCACACTAAGAACTCTACATTCATTCTATTTCCATAAAGTTTAGACAGTAAAAAGCCCAAGAGAATAAAGGAAATGCCTGTAAACAATCAGACTATATTCTGTGCTGGATAAATCAGCAAAATTTAAGTAATCATTGATGGCCATAACCTTTTTGGAATATCCAGTAAAATACAGGCTATCTTTTAATTTTATTTATCACGTTGATCAAGTAATAGAAAGAAATCTTAATTGCCTGATAGAAACATATACATAATTTTGAAATGTTCCAGCAGTTTACCTTCTAAAGTAACTTTTTAAAATTGCTTCTTGGTATTTGAATCACACAAATACTCCTAAATATTATTCTAGAATGAATGACTTTCCTTAAACTCCATATTTGAGATAAAATATGGTTTAGGGGAAAAAAGATTCAACTATTTGGCTTATATTCAGTCTTTTTCTAAAAGGGAATTTCCTGCCAGAATTATTTTTTTAAAGGGAGAAAAAGAAAATGCAGAAAAAGACAAGTAGATCTCACAGAATTTAGAGACTTTTATTTACCACTAAGAATTTACAGTAAAGAATTCATGAAAAGTGTGGCATAAGTTGACTTATTTTAAAATAGTATACTTCCCCTCTTGTATATCCATTCACATTCCTTTGAAGCTGGATATTTCTGAAGGAAAAACAAAAGAGATTTAGTTTAATACATCTTATTCCATCCTTCTAGTTTGTTATGTATCTGGCCAAATATAATGAGATCACCTTATCCTGTTGTACCTATCTTGATTTCATTGTTCCTATTCTAATCAGGGGACAAAAAATTAAGTCCCCTCAACTGCTTGAGGTTCCACACACAGCAGGGGTGGGTTCTACTTACCTTTACTACCGGTTCGCAACGGGATCGCATTGCTTCTGCACATGCATGCGCAGATCGCTAATGACGACATCCGGGGCAGTGGGCAGGGCCTTCCGCTAGTTTTACTACCGGTTCTTGCAAACCGGTCCGAACCTGGGGCAACCCACCACTGACACACAGATAATGAAATTATAGTACAAAGCCTGTCTTGAACTCATTTAAAAATAGGACTGTGTATAGATTAACCTTCAAAAGCCAAAGTACTGCATGGCTTGCAATACGATGGATAGCTTTTAAGGTATTAGAATATTTTAAAACAATATTTTTAAGCAGTGGGCTTTGTAACTGTCATGCAATTTAGGAAACACTCCACCACCACCGCAGTGTTTGATTTAAGGTATTTCCAACTCGTATTACATTTGCACTTAATGCTCTTTTAATCTTATTTTGCCCTTTGAATCTGGATTATTCCACAGCTGCTATTTAAAATAGCAGTATACTTCAAAATCCCTTTCACTATTCTCATTAAAGTGAAGGGAAAAACAATTGTTCTAAATGAGCTGTAGGGCTCTTGTAGTTATGAGATGTAGGGTTCTTGTCAATTATCTTAGTTAAAAGCAGTGGTGGGTTGCTACCGGTTCGCCCCGGATTGGGCAAACTGGTAGCACGATGGCAGGAGGCTCCGCCCAGCCGCCTGGATACTTCTGCACGTGCTCAGAAGTATTGTGTGCGCACCCACAAGCGAACCAGTAGCAACAGGTTTTGAAACCCACTACTGGTTAAAAGATGATCAAGAAGTGGGCATGGATACTGTTTCTTCTATTGTACACCCATCCCTCTAATGGTTTGTAACTTCCTTGGCTTCCAACCTCTCAATAAATCCAAGAGAAGACACCAAGAAGGGGCTTTCTTCTTCCTAGATGAGGAAGCAAAGACAGTCAGAGTTAGAAGTTGAAAATATCATCAACAGAAATTAGAAACAAAATAAAAAAATACGAAACTAGTGGAGGAAAATTAGCACCTTTTGCATAGGAGATGAAACCATCTGGTAAATTGGAAGAAAGAGTTTGACTTCTTCATTTAAAAAGTCTTGAACTGGTTTTCAAGACAATATGGGACTAACTTTAATTATTGGCATTGTAGAGGTTTAGAACAACATGCCAACAAAATATTTACAGTTTGGCTCATTTTTCTGAGTTCTCAAATGTAAATATCTAAATATGGTCCAAAGGCAGAACAGCAGATTGCAGCAATTGCCTTAAGGCTTTTGGACTACTGCAAATAATTTTGTATTATTTTCTAATTGCATTCTGATCCTCTCCTCTCCTCTCCTCTCCTCTCCTCTCCTCTCCTCTCCTCTCCTCCCCACCCCTCTCCTCTCCTCTCCTCTCCTCTCCTCAGTTGTGGAGCCCGAATGTGAAAAAAGCTCAGCTACAACGTATTACTGGTACAGAGAAGCACTCAATATTTCTAATTCTATATCTGAGAGTGGAGGTCTAAATTGGAAAATGACCATCTGTTTGTTGGCTGCATGGGTAATGGTGTGCCTGGCAATGATTAAAGGCATTCAATCTTCAGGCAAAGTAAGTATTGCCACCTACGTTCTTATTCACCACACCTTTTTGCCTATTTTGCCAAAGTTTGCTGGAAGATATGACTCATTGAGTGTGCTTGTGTATGTTTCTTTATGCTTTCAAGTAGAAAAATGTTGGTATAATAATTTTTAAATTATAGTCTGCTAAAAACAAAAACCATCTTTAAATAAAAGAAAGGATTATTGTGGCATGAGAACCTTGATCTGTTTTCATTTGCTATGAATAATACTTATAATTACATCTCAGCATTTACTAAAAAAAGAAAAGAAAAGAAAACCTATCGGAGTGGGGTTACTAGCTCTATTTTTGAGCACAGTTTGCTTTATTAATTTGATTTGGACTAAGTCTGAGAAATAGGGAAACAGTCAGTTCAAGTATCAAACATTTATGATATAATCATATGGAAGACTCTAACAGCAAGAAAAAGACCACTCAAACAGATGTGCAATCTTTTAAGGAAATTGTGAGAGGTGAGACAGAGCTGAACAGTTCTCCATCACTGAAAGAAGATTGGAGCTAATGTAAAACAAGACCACAGAGCAGTTGGGGCTCAGAATAGGAACCCCGACTAGTACAAAAGATAATATGGCTTTATTTGAAGAAGATAGAGTGGAAAAGAGAGCTAAATAGGATTATTAAAATTAATCATGTAATTAACCATGTTGGGGAAGCAAATAATCAAGATGAGCAAAAATGATGGTGCCATCAAATTGGTATTGAATCCTCAATATAGACCTTCTCCTGGATGAACATGGCAGTAGCACATCCAGAAAGTATAATTGGTTGACTTCAGAGTTTCACCCAATTTTATGCAGCCATAATTTATGAATAATCAAGCTAAACATGTTAAATTTCATCTGAAGATAAATTTCATACTAAGTGATCCTCCTGACACTAAGCACTTAATCACCCTTGTATCCTTCTTTGTAAACCTCTCAGATCCATTAAGTGTCTACTTTTGGCTCATAATGCTAGACGAGACCAGCCCCTAACCCAGCAGGGCTCTATTCTTTTCTTTTGAGCCATTCACAACTGATTTGGACTGTTCAATAATATGTCTAAAATTCAGATTGCATATTTTTTATTTCTACTACAGTGAGGAAGAAAACATTATTTGTAGTATATGGAGATAGTTAATTAAGCCTTTTATTTGACATCCTTTCGATTGCACAAACATTTTCATATATGTTTCATATCTTGTTTTATTTTTCTGCAATTATATGCATATGGGAATTCTTCTCATGAATGTCTTTCCCGTGAGCAAAAAAACTTGATTGCAGTGAAATGTGGTCTGGCAATACCGCTTATTAAGAAAATTATACTTTAGATCAGGAGTGGGGAACTATTTCCCTTTTATGACCTGTGGATTTCAACTCCCAGAATTCCTGAGCTAGCATGGCTGATTCAGGAATTCTGGGAGTTGAAGTCCACAAGTCATAGTTCCCCACCTCTGCTTTAGATGCTTTGTTTCAAAGGTGGGTTGTCATTCAGTGCAATCACTCCTAAATTAGCTTATTCATAATGGCTTTCATTTATTTTTTTCTCAGCTATAACAGTAGTAGCTGTCAAAAAAACTTTGGCTGACATCAGAAACTTAAGTGGATTTGGACTTGAAGTGGAGACCATTGGATTGTAGACTAGACTGGGAGGTTAAGAAAACATTTCAAAAAAAGGCAATGGCCAACCACCTCTATATTATTCCAGGAAAATTCTATAGATGAGATCATAAAATCACCAAGAACTGAGCTTTATCTTTTATATTAATAATTTATTACCCACTGTTCAGAGCATAGTTGCCATTCCCAGACCTATGTTTAAAAATTCATAGAATATTTTCCTGAAACATAATAACTTGGCCATCAAATTAAAACTATATTGTTCATCAGTTGAAATGGAGTGGTACCATTAAAATCATAACAATTGTTAAACCAGAAAAAGAGAGGGGGGGGAGAGAGGGGTAGAGGAAGGAAGGAAAGGAAGGAAGGAAGGAAGGAAGGAAGGAAGGAAGGAAGAAAGAAAGAAAGAAAGAAAGAAAGAAAGAAAGAAAGAAAGAAAGATGGTTTCCTTGGAAGAAAGTGGTCTGGCAAAATCTAAAAAGACTTCCAGAGAGCATTCTGAGACAAATATGCTTTCAGTTTTCCTCCTCTCCAGTGGGTTGCCTTTTTCTAATGGAAAACATCATTTCTGAGCAAATTATTAGATTTAAACCAGAGGCTTCTGTTTGTCAGTCTATAAATGTAGAACTTCTTTCTTTCTCAGAAACAAATCTCTTTATCTGTTTTATGTTATCTCTGGTAATATCATATTCCAATTATCTAATATCCAGAAACCCACAAGAAAGGTAAAGAGGGAAAGGTCGTCCCAGAAACCTCCAGAAGGTGTTACTAAATAGCTTTTATATGATTTTAGAATGGCAGGAGATTCACCTGTGCATGAATTTGACTAAATATTGATTGAATGGTAACTATATTTAATTACTTTTAAACATAAAAATAAAATCAAAATTAGTTTTGGCCTACCTTTGCAGTCTCTGTCATCGAGCAAGATGATAGTTCATTTAGCCCATGTTGGCGCTGATACAGTAGAGAGATGGGCAAGAAACATACTCCTGATAACAATTTAAATTATGGTTTACAGGTACACTGATGTCCTAAATGAATACGGAGTGGGGGACCTTTCTTTTTTTAATCAGTGAGTCAGCGGTACTTGGGCTTCAGAAAGTACCAAACATAACAATGAATCCTATATATCCACTAGTCTTCTCTATAGAGCAGGGGTGTCAAACTCATATCTTCATGGCTGTGTCACGTGACGTATCGGGACTTTTTTCCCCTTCGCTAAACCGGGCGTGGGCATAGCTAGTGTGTGACGCATCCAGCCTGCGGCCCAGGAGTTTGACAGACCTGCTATAGAGACATGATATGATCATTATGGTCTCTCTTGGTGATGATGCATGTTTTTCTGCTCTGTTCTCATTTATTTTAGAATAAAATAATTTCTGATTTCAATGAAACATTTATTTCAATAAAGGAGCAATAACCTTTGTTGGTTATTTTACAGACCTCTTAAGCAGGCCTTTTCCAACCTGGTGCCTTCTAATAGAGTTTGACTTTTACTGCCAGCCATCTCCAATAAAGGCTCTACTGGTTGGGGATTAGGGCAGTTGAAGTCCAACGCATTTGGAGCATGCCTGTTTAGAGAATTCATTATCTTAAGACAATGCAGAATTGACTGTTGAGAATGTTCACTAAAAACCTACATTTCTGACTAGTTCCATTGCTATTGTCAGTCAGGGCAGGATGATTGAGAAATTTTGTTTTGTTTTTAAAATGATTTGCTTTTAATATCTTTCAGATAATGTACTTTAGCTCTCTTTTCCCTTATGTGGTACTTCTGTGCTTTCTAATCAGAGGGCTGCTTTTAAATGGTTCACTGGATGGGATTCGTCATATGTTTACTCCAAAGGTAATGCTTGATTGCTTCTGATCCCACTTACTATTTGCCTTTCAACAGCTTCAATAAACTCCTAATGAGGTAGAAGTCTACTGATTTGAGATACATGTGCTGTGGAAGATAGTTCTAGCTCAAATATAAAAGGTCATTATTTTTGTATTTTTAAACTACATCATCACTCTCAGAGGATTAGGAATTTTCCATCTAATTGGTATTGTCCTTGATTCTTGATTCATACTCACTTTCAGTGGTTTGAGTTTACAGCAGTAAGAAAGAGACCCAAAACATTGTATTGGCGTGCTTGATGAAAGAAAAGAAGATAACTTAGTCTGCAACAGGAGGATAACAAATTTATGTTACTCTTATAATGTAAGTTTCAAAATTAGATAAAGAAATCCTTAACATACGTACACCCTCCTCTGATTCCCTTTTCAGTTGTATTCTAATGCATGGATTGATCCAAATGTGGGGAAGGGGATAGTCCTCACCAGTATGCCCCTGCTCCCCTTCATGGGATTAAGGAGTGAAATTTTAGAGATATTTAATAAAGCTGTGAGGAGTGGCTCAACTCCACTTCGGGGAATTTCTTCAAGGCTACAGCAATCTGATTCAAAGTGATGCCGCCACTTGAACAATTAACTAACTCTGCCCAAACCAGGAATCAACTTGTATTGTAAAGCTCCAAATAGCATAGCCACAATAACCCAACATTTAAAAGAAAATGCTTTTTCATTCTGTTGTGCCACTTCAAATGGGCACTTCAATCAAATTTTGATCAAAGCAAAATGCCCCTTTGAAGACCTTCACAGCTGCAGCTATTATGCAATCTAAATTATCTTAGTACACAGTTGAAAAGTGATTAACGTGTTGCAAAGTATACATCAGATTTGTACAAGACAATTCCAAATCTATCTTGAGCATTAACACGTAGCAAAATCCTGGAAGCATTATTCAAAATTTAATGATGATAAAGTAAACCAGAGAATGATAAAAAGATTTAGGAAAAGTCACCTGGGAAGTCTGAAACAGCAATTGGAAAGAACTAAAATTTATGTAATCCCTTTAATATATGACCCCCAATGATTGTACACCCTCTGCAGTTGGGAATTAATTCTACATGCTGTCCATTTTAGATGAGCAACTTGTTTGGGCATGTAATAATCCTTTTGAGAACAGTCAGATACAAATATCCCTTGTATTAAATATTTTTGCAACAATCTTCTTCATCTTCTGCCGCCAACAGTTATTTATTCCCCTCCTTTATTACAAATGTCACCTATTCCAGCACTCCAGAAAATGAACAGTGATGGCTTTATTGTACACCTCTGATTTAGTGAAACAAATTGTGTTCTGTCCTAAAAGTGTTTTTTCAAGAGGCAACTGGACTTTCTGGTTTTTCTTTGAAGACCTTTCGCTTCTCATCCAAGAAGCTTCTTCAGAAGCTTGAAAAATCATCTTTGGGACAGGACATAATTTCTTTTACTAAATCCGAGGTGTACAATAAAGCCATCACTGCTTGTTTTCTGGAGTGCTGGAATAGGTGACATTTGTAATATAGGAGGGGCCAGTGTGGTAATTTTTTGTTTCAATTACAATAAATTGAATATTTTGAATCATTATGGCTATCTCCATGTATTTATAAGTTCAGCTTAAATAAGATGCTTCATTTAACAGAGCTATATCAAGTCTAAGAAAATTGTTCTGTTATAAACTCACAGTTCATTGTCATGTCTAATAATTTATAATGGTTGCAATGAACTGAGCCATCATCCCAGTATTTTCAGTATATAAAATGCTTCTATAAAAGTAAATTCTGAGCCAGTCTTAGCTCGAGTTAAATCAAATCTTTATTCTGGTCAAAGATCAGCATAATTCTATCTACAATTCTGTGGCAAAATTTATGCTTTTTCACTGATACACCTGTTAATCCTCCATCTTATTTGAAGTAATTGTCATAGTTTGCAATGTTTTTAACTTCTAAGGAAGTGAACATATAGTTGCATCCTTAAGTCCATAAATTCATTTTTCATCAAATAATGAGATGTAGCAATATTTGAACTAAAAAACTCAGAGAAATGTGATTACTGACATGTTGAAGGGGAAAATAAAACCACCAAGAACTTTCTTAGGGTAAGATTATGTGACTGAAAACAGCATCAAAAGCAATGGAAAGTGAGAATAAAAATTGTGTGTATAGTGCCATCTAGTGATCCAACTATGGTATGTCAACTTGGGAAGATTTGTTCATACGTGATAAATCTCAATAGAAGTATTTAGATAGAAACATTTCCTATTATTGAAATGCACACTTTTAGAAAACAATCACTCTATCAGCTTGGAAAAATATTTGGATTTGCTTTCATTATAAGAGTGCATTATGTTCAAAAAGAATATTGAAATAATTGGCTACTTTAAAATTTCTGTTTGCTAGATAATACTACTGACATTTGGCATGCATCAAATTGTGATCTTAAATCCTCTTTCAGTGAAATAAACACCATTGAACTTATAACATGTTCATCAGATTAGACAGGCACAGATACGTGGCCATAAGTACGTCTTTAGCTTTAGCTAATGACTTGTTCTGTTTTCACAAAGTAAAATTTCCATTTCCATTCAAGATCTGTTCAAGCTATGTACTTTCTATAATTGATATAAAAATGAAAAATAATTTTAAACATTCCTAAAATCTTGGTCTTTCAAGAAATGTTACACATATTGTTGAATAAATCTTTCAAATATTAAAAGCACATTTTTTTCAAAATCCTGAAAAAGATTTTTTTCTTTATATAGGAATCATAACTGTACTGTGATTTTGATTTGGAGATTAAGCAGCTATTAATAATATAGAATTCAAATCAGCCTCTTAGTTTAGTTCTTCTGGATGGTTGTTCGTTGTTATTTATGACATGCCAAAATTTCTCTGGGCAAATTCCAGTTATCCGTAAGAACAATATTGACAGTATTATTGGAATTTTTTCATATGTAAATGGAAAACAGCCAAAAAATTAATGTTAGTTTTATGTAACATTTGGAATATGTTTTAGCTATTTTTCAAAACAAATAGAGGACAAAATATACTCTTGATTATCTAGTGCAGTGTTTGTTTGTCAAACTTAACATCTTTAAGATGTGTGGACTTCAACTCCCAGAATACCTCTTACTGGCTGAGGAATTCTGGGAGTTGAAGTTCACTTGTCTTTAAAACTGCTGAGGTTGACAAATACTGATCTAGTGACCATTATTAAATTGGGCTGAGCTGGGTATGTTACCCCTGGAAAGTGATATTTAGAATGTTTCCTGATTATTTGTTGCCTCTCTGCTTAATAGAAATGCTGCATTTTGTAGTTGACTTATATTGTATCTGATTTCAAACAGCTTGAAATAATGCTGGAGCCTAAGGTGTGGAGAGAAGCTGCTACTCAGGTGTTCTTTGCCTTAGGACTTGGATTTGGTGGAGTCATTGCCTTTTCAAGCTACAACAAGAGAGACAACAACTGCCATTTCGATGCTGTTCTGGTGTCCTTCATCAATTTTTTCACTTCTGTGCTGGCAACTTTAGTGGTGTTTGCTGTTCTGGGCTTCAAAGCAAACATCATAAATGAGAAATGCATTGTGCAGTATGAATATTTATTTATCAATTTTTATAGAATATTTCACTTGGGAATTTCCATCCTTATTCTTTTGGGTGATTGTGTGCCTTTACATTTTTGTGTTTGTTTTGTAGAAATTCTCAACAAATTATCAGCCTTCTGAATAGTGGAAATCTCAGCAAGGCTATCATACCTCATCATATTAATTTATCAAGTATTACAGCAGAGGATTATAATCTGGTTTATGATATCATTCAGAAAGTTAAAGAAGAAGAATTTCCTCTGGGTTTGAAACCATGTCAAATTGAAGATGAACTTAATAAGGTTAGAGTGATAATTCAATCCATGACACAAAGTTTACAAATGACCAGTTGTTTTAAAAAACCTCTAGCCCTTTGAAAATAGCTTTACTTTTCACTTCCAAGGTAAAGGTAAAGGTTTCCCTCGCACATATGTGCTAGTCGTTCCTGACTCTAGGGTGCAGTGCTCATCTCTGTTTCAAAGCCGAAGAGCCAAGGCTGTCCGAAGACATCTCCGTGGTCATAAGCCCTGCATGACTAAATGCCAAAGGCGCACAGAACGCTGTTACCTTCCCACCAAAGGTGGTCCCTATTTTTCTACTTGCATTTTTTACGTGCTTTCGAACTGCTAGGTTTGCAGAAGCTGGGACAAGTAACGGGAGCTCACCCCGTTATGCGGCACTAGGGATTCGAACCACTGAACTGCCAACCTTTCGATCGACAAGCTCAGCGTCTTAAGCCACTGAGCCACCGTGTCCCGTTCACTTCCAAGGAATGTACTAAATCAGAACTTTGCTTCAAGTTTCCTTGTCTATGTTTTATCCATTCCCATCCCTATCAGTTTCATAATTGGAACAGTTTATTGCTGATGTCAAGGAATGCATAGTGGTATATTAATTTTTCAATGCAGTAAGCCACTAGCAGCTTATATTTGTTTGTTTGTTAGTTTGTTTATTTTTTACTAAAACTTATTGGCACCCATCTTATCACAGGGTAACTCTGGGCAGCTTACAGTCATAAATACATATCTTTTCATATACATTAAAACATAAAATCAAACATTAAACTAAGGAATGTGGGGAGGCTGGGGGTAGAATGGGGTGGTGGTGGGATCTGTGGTGACTTGATCAACCATCTCCACTGTGCTGTTCCCCATTGGAGTGCCAAGCCAATTGGCAGAATCACGTCTTTAGGTCCTTATGAAAGGAGGGTTGGGACCAACCTCACATTGGTTCCAGAAAGCCAGAGCAACAGCAGAGAAGGTCCTCCTCCTGGATCCCACCAGCCAAAATAATTGGGTAAACAGGACCCGCAGCATGCTTCCTCTGCCAGCGCGAGTGGGAAATATCAGGTTTATGGCATTAATGAACAAAGAAAACTCTTGGAATAAAACAATGATCAGACAATCATCTGACTCAGTTTAGCTGTCATAACTGCTCTAAGCAATAGCATCCATCCCTGGTTCTCTTTACTAAGTGTGTTTGCTCACCATACAGTGTCTCTACTTTCTTTTCAAACTTCCTCTTGACCAATTTTAATCACTGAGATTTCTTCTTGACAGGCTGTTCAGGGAACTGGTTTAGCTTTCATTGCCTTCACAGAAGCCATGACACACTTCCCTGCTTCTCCTTTCTGGTCAGTGATGTTTTTCCTGATGCTGGTAAATCTAGGGCTTGGCAGCATGTTTGGAACAATTGAAGGGATCACTACACCTATAGTTGATACCTTCAAAGTGAGAAAAGAAATTCTGACTGGTGAGTTGGCATACATTTCTTTCTTTATATTTGATGTTATCTACAAGAAAATGGCCTCTACAAAACAGCCTCCTAATCTGTTTTTATACAAATGGAATGCTTTTTACCGGTAGAAAAATGTGCTTTTATTCTTCTTTGAAATCCCTCCTATCGCAGGACTGTTCAGAGCAGATTAGGAGCATGTGCCAGTTACTGCAGGGCAGAGATAGAGTTGCCTCCCTTTGATAATAGATGTGATTCTGTCAACAGAAGACCACATGGATTTTATTAGAGGTGTGCAAAGCATTTCAAGTTCAACATTTTCAATAGGCGCTGTTCTGGTTTCAAAGGAAGTGCTTGTACACTTTTCTGACCCTACTAGCAAGGTCGGAACAGTACACTTCTTATGAGGATGGAATAGTTCATCTCATATATGGAACAGCTGTTTGAAGACAAAAGGGAAAATTTAGAGAGCCAAATTATTCAAATGGGATTATTTAACATACTTTTTAGGTTCTATTAATCTTTGTTCTGAATATTTAGACTTGCTTGATTGTTACCAGGGCTGGCCATGAAGAGATGCTCTGGAACTAGTGTAAAATCAATGTTTCTTTGTGTGTGCCTATGAGCACGCTTTTGAGTAAGGGCTCACTCCTGGTGACTGCCTAGAAAAGTCCATAAAGTTTCCTCTACAATGTTTTTCAGAAGGTGTTTGCCGTTGTCTTCTTCTTAGGGCTGAGAGAGAATGACTCAAGTCACCCAACTGACTTTGTGAGCTGAACTGAAACTTTTAAAGTGACACAGACTCTTTTCGGGATAAAGGAGTTTCCTATAGGATACTATGAACCCAATTTTTGAAGATAGCTTATCACACAATCCTATGATCTTTTCTTTAAACCAGAACTTTGTCTTTTTTTGCTTCACACATCTTATGCAAATTTCTCTTTTTTTAACATTGGTACTCTTCCATTGAAATTTTAAATATTAGAACCAGTTTTTCCAAGTATTTAGGACAAATTTAGGTATCCTTTTTGGTGGATAGGTACATTTGTGATATTGAGTGCTTGTTATAAGTACTCTTAAAAAACTGGTGCTCTAGGAAATTTCTTAATTAAAATATAACTCTCATCACTGATAGCAACAGAAAAAAATCCCTTTTTCTGAGCAAGTAAACATAGCCCCTACGATGACTCATAGTTATATATTCTAAGAATACTTATGGAGATCATAAGTATTATTTTCAATAAAGATAATTCTAGATATTATCCTATCATGCCAAAGGTGTTTTTAGGCATAATAGTTCTTAAATTATATTATTGTTATTTTATTGTTTTCTCTCTGTGTTTCTACTGAGATAAACACTCAAAACAGATAACAAAGTTTAAAAATAAATACAGGTAATCCTCAATTTATGACCACAATTGAGCTCCAAGTTTCTGCTTCTAACCAAGACAGTTATTAAGTGATTTTTGCCCCCTTTTACCACCTTTCTTGCCACAGTGGTTAAATGAATCATTGCAGTTGTTAAGTTATAATACGGTTGTTAAGTGAATCTGGCTTCTCCATTGACTTTGCTTGTCAGAAGGTTGCAAAAGTGACCACATGACCCTGGGACAGTACAACCATCATAAATATGAGTCAGTTGCCAAGTGTCTGAATTTTGATCACTTGAACATGGGGATGCTGCAATAGTTGTATGGGCCAAATGGTCATAAATAATTTTTTTCAGTGCTATTGTAACTTCGAACAGTCACTAAATGAATTGTTGTAAGTTGAGAACTGCCTATATTAAAAGCTCAACATAGATTAACCAATTAACAATAAAATGATTCCAAAAATCACTTGATAGTTAAAATCTGCAAAAAGAAGTGCATATTTACAGTCTTTCTAAATATCAAGGTAGAGGCTAATAACAATTTCTAATGGGTTTTTTTACATAACTTGGGAATGTTTTCAAAAGACCGTCTCCTGAATGTTGGAAACTGCAGAGCTGTTCCCATTGGAATGGCATGAAAGTGTAAATTAGAGTCAGGAAAGATACCACAAAGAGAGACAGTCTATTCTGTGCCGTTCAGCTTCTCGTGTTTGCCAGATTTAATTTTTTCATCTTTCCATATCCCTTTGCATATTTCTTTTACATTCGGATTAAATTTGTTTCATATTTGGTGTATACTTCTGTAAATTATATGGAGGTCTTTTTGCTTAATACATGTTCTATGACAGGCTGCTTCCCTAACATAATACAGTAATGAAAACAATTTCCACTAATGTAGGAATTGGAGAATTACATCACAACATTTGAAGAAGTATGATTAAAAAAAAGATTGATTCATATTTCAGTTTAAACCAATATAATTATATCGGTTGAAATTTGGTTTAAACCAAACATATGTATTCCTTTTCCAATATATCATATTCATAGGAATGTAAGAAACTATCTTATACTAAATCAAATCACTGGTCTGCCTAGCCCTGTATTGCTGATTCTGACTTGCAGCAATTGCCCAGGGTTTGAACATAATTTTTTTCTGGCCCTACCTGCCCATGCCAAGGATTAAATCTTCTATCTGGAAAGTATGAAGTCACTCTCCAAATATTCTATATAATAATAGAATCTTCTCAGTCATTTTTAATTTCTAACACTGGAAGTTTGTAACTAACTAGGTAGGAAAAGAGTCATTCCTAGTTTTACCACATATTTCAAGATGAAGAGTAGAGGATAAACGAAAGAAAAGGAAAAAAGAAAAGTAGCCAAGATGTAGTTTCATCTCAGAAACAATGGCAATAACACCAAAGGGATTATTGCAGAGGTGGTATTCAGCAGGTTCTGACCAGTTCCGGAGAACCAGTAGCAGAAATTTTGAGTAGTTTGGAGAACTGGTGAATACCACCTTTGACTGGCCCTGTCCCCATCTATTCTCTGCCTTCTGAGTCCCAGCTGATCGGGAGGAAATGGGGATTTTGCAATAACCTTTCCCTGGAGTGGGGTGGGAATGGAGATTTTACAGTATCCTTCCCCTGCCATGCCCATCAAGCCATGCCATGCCATGCCACACCCACCATACCACACGCACAGAACCGGTAGTAAAAAATTTGAATCCCACCACTGGATTAATGGATATACAACCTCTACTCTTCTTTCTTTCTTTCTGTTTTCTTTTAGTCACTTGCTGTCTTCTAGCATTCTGCATTGGTCTCATATTTGTGCAGCGGTCCGGTAATTACTTTGTAACAATGTTTGATGACTATTCTGCTACACTGCCTCTACTTATTGTGGTCAGTTTGGAGAATATTGCAATGAGTTACGTTTATGGAATAGACAAGTAAGTGTACATACTGCATTCTTTAATATGCAACTCTGCTAATAATTCTGAAGGTTGCAATTTTGTTGTTCTAAAAGGTTGTCCTGCTGTATAGGAAGGTGGCAGGGAAAATGAGAGAATAAAGAACACATTTTCTTCCCTCTAAGGATCATTGTCTCTGGTAGGCACAAATACCATAGGAGTCAACTGTTTGGAATACGAAAATACATAGATTTATTGAAACAAAAGTTGTATACAGTTGTCCCTCTAATATATTACTTAGTTCTAGCACAACTTATATTGGAGATACACATCACTAATTGACATGAATTTCTCAAGTATAATAAAGAGAGTCCTTATTAAATTAGTAATACTTACCATAAGTTGTCTTGTAGCTGTTTAGTCCGGAAACATTTTGAATGTAGAAAAGATAATGGGAGAAATAGCATGCAAAAAGCAGAAAACAAACTGTCAACCTAAGGAATGGAGACCGTCTTACCACACCCACACCCTTGCCTACTTCACACAGAACTCTTTTATGTTTCTTATTTTGAAAGCTAAAAATATTAGACTCTGACCAACTGGTTTTCATTAATCTTTCATGGAATTGTGTTACAATTCAGAATACAATTTGGAGAAAGGTTGAGCTGGTCGTGGGTAGTTCTTGATAATGGAAGTTCATTTTTATCTTCTCCTGGTCTTTGGTACATTATTCTTTAAGATAATGTTATAGAGACTGTACTAGATACGGTATATACTGCATTTGTTGACCTTGTTATCCTTCATGATTGTCAGAAAGGGTTATTTATTGAACAAGTTTGCATAGAGGTTACATTCCATTCAAATATGGTTAGTGCTTGGTTTCTGGATATTTAAAGCTTCTTTTAGGGAAGTACTATAATAGCTGACAAACATTTGTGCTGAAGTTGATAGATATATAATTATGAGATACAGTGACATACTTTCCTATGTCTCATGCTAGGCATCATAAAGAACACTTAGATAAGTATATTTATGAAGGTAACACTGTATTTTTGAAATTATTATCCATAATATTTATAATTCATACATACACTGTATATTTCATGGGAAAGGTGTATCTCATTGTTAATATTTTTAATTTTTAAATTAACTAGAATGTTTTGCTTTAATTCATATGTTTAGTCCTTCATATATGTTGGGATGACAACCATATGGCTATTCATTGGGAACTAGAATTTTGGGAAAGACTATGATAGCTTTTGAATTAATAACATTTCTCCTGTTTTCCAGATTTATGGAAGATTTAAAAGATATGCTTGGCTTTTCACCAAATCAATTCTATTATTATACATGGAAATATATTTCCCCTATTGTTTTATTATCTTTGCTGGTAGCAAGTATTATCCAGATGGTATTAAGCCCCCCTAGTTACAGTGCATGGATTGAAGAGAAGGTGAGTGATGCCTATAAGAGAGAGAGGAGGGGGGAGGGAGAGAGAAGAGAGGGGGGAGAGAGAGAGAGGAGGGGGGAGAGAGGAGAGGGAGAGAGAGAACATGGAGCATTAATAATGTATATTATAGATATATATGAGTATATGTTATAAGCATATAGATAAGAAGCAATTTAAAGTTATAATGTATGTCTCAAAAGAGCATATTGAACAACTTATAATACCCATCAGACTTTAAGAGCGCATGTTTCCTCACTGAGAATTAGCACTGTGACCTAAAAGTCCTTAGGATTGTCCTCTGGGCAGGAGGGGAGGGTATGAGTTGTAGATGATGATGATGATGTTGATGATGATGATGACAATGATGATAATTCTCTTAATAAATCTCTTAGCAAAATAAATTGGATGGGGCAGAGATGCTGTAGTGCAGGGGTCCCCAGTCCATGGCCTATTAGGAACCAGACTGCATAGTGAAACCTACTGTAAATTATGCGTGTGAGGGGTCTAGGTGGCAGTGTTAAGTGTTGGCTTATCATGGAAACATGTGCTAATGATACTTCTCTTGGACCATGCAGGCAAGCAAGGAGTTACAGAACTACCCAACATGGGGCATGATTGTTTGCATCTCTCTAATTGCTCTGGCAATGCTCCCGGTCCCTGTTGTCTACTTGATTCGCCGCTGCAACCTTATTGATGACACTTCAGGTAGTTTGGCAGCTGTTTCCTATAAAAGAGGGCACATTATCAAGGAACCAGTGAATCTCGAGGGAGATGATACCAGCCTGATCCATGGAAAGAGTCCAAGTGAGGGGCCTTTTCCAACCTTTGGCAAAAACATTTACCGAAAACAGTCTGGGTCTCCAGCAGTGGACACCGCCCCCAACGGTCGTTATGGTATTGGCTACATAATGGCAAACATGTCAGATATGCCAGAGTCTGATTTGTAGCTGCTAAGCAGTATTGATGTCTCTGCTTCTATTAAGCTACTGAACATTTGTTCTCTTAAGAGAAGTGATCTGCTTCCCTTACTAGAGTGCAATCTCAGGTGCCCCATGACTGCATCCTTCAAAATATCGTGACATGTGGTACAGAAAGCTTGAAAAAATTCCCTTTGGCTTGATTTTCTGGTTTCCATTTGTACTGAAGGGAATGCACATAACTATAAATTAGTGATGGCCTAGCTTTGTCAAAAAATGCCAATTTTTAAAACAAAATTATTTTTGCATTTAATTTGAAATTTTTCTATCTTTAAAGTACAGGTGTTACCTCAGTTTGTAGCAATTTTTTAAGTGAATTCATATTTCTCTACTGCTGTAATTGGAAAGTCCTCCTTTGTTCCCGCAATTTAAGTCCCCTTCTGTGTATTGGAAAAAATTAGTTCCAAAGAATTCACCAAGCCTGTATTTACTGCACTTATTTGTACATATGTTTTGTAGATACCCTATACTTTTTTTAAGCTATCACAGTTGCTTAGGCTACTTGCAGAGTTTTAAGAAAAGGAAACAACATTTACCCTGCAGATTATTTTCTTACACGTAATAGCTGTATAGAGTAGTAGTATTAGACTACCAAGTATGATTATGCTGGAAACACAGAATTCCTCAGCCTGTGGGGAACTGCATATGATGTGGCTGTATTTTACATACTGTATTTGGTTTTTCAGTGTGAAAATGATATAAGCATGAGTCGCTCTGAGACTCTTACAAAACTGTGCAGATTCTGCATTTTTCTAAGCTGTGTGCCTAAAACAAACAAACAAAAAACCCCTCTTCCTAATATTTATTGTGGTTACAAGATTACATACATTATATTTATATACAATATACTTGTAATGTACATATGTATAGTAATAATGTATGTAACTGCTTCAAACCTTGAAGCAAGATGGCTTTTTAAAAAATATGTTTTGCTTCTGTTTTCATGCAAAGAGGAAATCTCCTCAACCCAGTCAATAATCATCAAGAACTGTATGCCATTACATTTAAACTAAGAATAAAAGAGTGGAAAATGACTGCTTTGTATTTTCTGTAATGTGGCTACATGTGTGTTTCTCAAAAAAAATCATAGAAGTAGTTAAATACCTTGAAGAAACTTGGCCCTGTGTTTCAAAGCCATGCGTTCTCACATTGTCCCCATAAGAATTCCTCCTATATTCTTCAGCTAGCATCACTAACTGGAGATAATGTGTAATTGTAATCTATCAGATCTTGAAGTTGCCAGGTTGGGTAAAGTTGATATAACCAGTTTCTGTAGAGTAATAAAAATGACATTCTTCTTACTCATTGTTTCTGCTGCTCTCCTAAGAAAGATTCTGGGCATACCTCTTTAGAACATGTAAACATGCATAGAACATGTTTGTTATTTATTTATTGTCATTGTAATGTAAATAATATTTTTCTCAGAAAAGAACAGGATGGCTTAATATAGGATGACATAAAATATGTTTTTACAGTAGCCCATTGTAACTTCTGTGCTTGAGATGACAGAAGTTGGGAAGCAGCTGATAGGATGGATGAAGGATGTCTTTATTTCTCCTGTTGCATGGTTTATACACATATCATACATTCTTAATGTGAATGTTTCTGTGTAAGTAAGGATGTAATATTAATTTATTCCTTTTAGAATGATCACCCTAAAGCTCTGCAGAAATCTCAGGGGACAGCCCATTCTAACAGCTACGTTATGAAGTAATCCAGAAGAGCTACTCATGGTCCTTTTAGCCACAACAATTCCATGCCAAGACCTTCCTAATAATCCAAAATCCAATTGACCATGGAGATGAACTGAATGCCTCAGACTTTCATATTGGGCTGCAGAAATGGAAGAACTCTCATAACCATTAAATATAACTATTAAATGGTTGCAAAGAAAAGCAGGAACTTTTTTTGACATTGCCATGTATTTGTAATTAAATCAAAACAGATCACAAGGACAAAAGATGGCCAGCATTAGCATTCAAAGATAGGCTATGTATAGACTATACTATTTGTATAGTCTTGTCTACTTCTGAATACAGCTGGGAGCACATAGTTTGAGATTATATGTGCTGCTTTGCCTGCGTAAATGTGTGCACATATTTTACTAGGTGTTGGCTGCTCTTTGCAAGGTCTATATGCAGAGATAGCCATGACAAGCAATTTCAAGATGTTTGCCACAATATACTTCAAAAGATCTGCCCAGAAAGTCTTAGTCCATGGAATTTGAATTCTTAACAAGGTCATTTCCCTAATTGCTGTTGCCTAGATATTTAGGTAGTCTGATAAAAACTTGTTGCTGGGCTCATGCCTATCTTAAAACCCTTTATTTAGCCATTTGATATCAAAGAGTTCCACAGGCATTGTAAACATGGAAAACTAGCATTCAGGAATAGCAATAGCACTTAGACTTATATACTGCTTCACAGTGCTTTACAGCCCACTCTAAGAGGCTTACAGAGGCAGCATATTGCCCCCAACAAGCTGGGTCCTCATTTTACCAACCTTGAAAGGATGGAAGGGTGGGTTAACCTTGAGCCAGTGAGACTCAAACTGCTGGCAGTCTGCAGTCAACAGAATTAGCCTGCAATACTGCATTCTAACCACTGTGCCATCATGGCTGATGAAGAACAAAAATGGCTGATGTATTACCTTTTGACAATATATTCTGATTATGGAGATAATATATACCCTTTGTCAATACTATTCATTGATAGTTTTATCTACTTTGACTGTGTGTCTATTATGGTCACCACCATAGTTTGTTGGAATTCCTTTTATAATTCTGATCATTCTCTCTGTGAAGAGTTCTTCCATTTGTTTTTACTGAATTTGTATTATTTAGCATGATTCAGTGGCTGTGTCCAGATAGGGCTTCTCCTGGCAGGATAGGTCTTATTTGTCATGTTTTGGATGAGTCTAGATAATAACCTCCATTTATCATTTTCATCTTTTTTCTTATATGAATAAAAATCTGCTACGGAGAAAAACAGAATAGCTGTAGATGATCTTATAATTGGTGATCTTAGGAGCCAATCAGTTGAATGCAGCTGCAAGTTCTATTTTTTAATGAAACTAAGTAGAAACTTCCCTTCTATCCTCTTTCTTTACCCCTTATTTGAGAGACATATGCTAACAAAATGTTTGTGCAAGACAGAATGCATATGATAATTAAATGACTGCTGCGAGAGACAAAGTACTAAAATAAGTTAGAATGATTGATCAAGATAGATTCCAATGTAGTCATTTCTCAGACCAGCCAAGACCTTAACAGGTACTGACATTCAAGTCAGGGCTTTGTAGTGTCACAACCAAACTATTGAGCATAGGTTATCCCTTCATGTAGAATCTATATACCGAAACTGTATTTATGCCAAGCATGTATTAGTGAATTTGTTGATTCTGGGAATGGCAAAATGTTACAGAGGGACATTCTATTTGTATCATACTTCATGGAAGAGGTACGTCAACATACACTTGGAAGTTTGCACAACATCTGAAACTTGCAGATTATATGGAAGTCTCTTCATGTACAAATATTCTTTTAACGCTCACCATCTTAGCCTTGCAGTAGTTCATGCTGAATGTACAAACGGGTGTGATTTAGATCCTGGAGAACAAGCTATGTATATCCTGATTTGGACTGGAAGACTGAAATTGAAATTTTGCTTGGCTTTAAAGCCTGGGTACTAGTGAAATTTCCTGAGGTAAAAATAACCACTTTCTTGCAGCTAAAATTGGGGGGGAGGGAGTAGGAGGAGCACATAACAACAGTAGTTGGAACAGACCCAAGAGAATAAAGATACGAATAACACCAAGAATCTCCTTCAAAGAAGTTACAAGCTAACTTTAAATAAATTTGCAGGTGAAATGCAGATTATTAAATTTTTATTGAACACAGGCAGCTGATTCTGGGACATTTGCCTTCGAGAAATCAATCAACACATACCTTAAGCTACTTTTACTTATAATTATTTCAATGTAAGTAATAGACTCCAACATATAATTAATGTAAGGAACTGAGCTTTTCCTTATCCATCACTACTTCACAAATTTAAATAATTTAAAAAATGCTGCAAGTTCTAAGGAATTTATGAAATATCTTCAAAAAAGAGGACAAAAAATATCCCATAGTCTTTCTTCACAGGGGAAGAAAACTTCCAGGAAAATGCAAGATTGATTTGAGAAAAAGCATTATTTATCAGATGTTATTGTTAAGTATGAAACTAAGTATTTTAATTAATTCTTTATTTTGGCAATTTTATTGTCTCATGGAGTTCTGATAATGATATTATTTTATCTTTAAAAGAAAATTTGCAGAATTTCTTAATGTTTTAAGAAATTTATCTTATATCATTTCCTACCAGTTCTCATTTATTTGATTATGGTTGCTTTTGAAATTTGAAATTTTTTCTGAGCAGAAAAGAATTTTGGTTAATCTTTTTAGGATTGAATGGTATCTTATGTGTTAGAAATAAGAAGATGGCTGAGTAGACTGGGTAAATGTCTTATTTTCATTGTATTGAGGCTGTTTTATCTGGGCTGCAGAAGTCAAAATAACTACTAGGTGGCAGAAAAAATAAATGCAATATTCTAGCACTTTGCTGCCATCAACTACTCATCTAATTTTTGCAATCTACATACAGAAGTCCTAAATACCGGTATGTTGTCATCAGCCTCTTTCTATGCTCATTGGGAAATCATGGATTGTACTGCCAGAAGATTGAACCCAGTAACTATAGATTAATCAACCTAGTGTCATTCCTGAACAAAACTGTGGAATACATAATGAAACAATTGGTTTTTAGAAAAGAATGCATGACTTGATAGAAGCCAGCATGAGTTTATCAAGAAAAAACTCATTGCAAATAACCTGATCTCCTTTTTTTGATAGAGTGTACAGTTTAGTGGGCATGGGAATGCAGTGGGTATATTATATTTCTATTTTTGCAGAAGACTTGATAAAGTCTTCTATGAGATTCTAGTAGAGAAGATAGTAGACTGGACTACATTAGAGGATAAAAATAATTTGAACATTTTTATCCATGAATCTACATCTATAGTTCCCTATTAAGTGGAAGGAGATGTCAAGTATATTTCATGAATTCATTCCAAGATTCAGTGTATTTATTACTGACTAAAAGCAAAAGTGTGGGATGGGAATAACCATATTGGCCATCAAGATCTGGATATTTTTTGTTATTTTGAGCAAAAGAAATGATGCTGCTATAAAGAATGAACAGTCCTTGGCTGTGTCAACAGAAGCAAAGCATTAAGATCAAAGGAAGTCATTATTTGTCTTGGCTATGTACTGGTCACACTACACTTAACATATTTCATTTAGTTGTGAGCTACATATTTTAAGAATTACTATGAGAAACTGGACCATGTTCAGAAGAAACAGTTCAAATGATAAAGGACCTAGAAGGAGAAATTTAATCAGTTGGAGTTGTTGGGTATGTTTGGCTTGGAGAAGAGAAGATTACAGATAGACATAATAACACTCTTCAAGTACTTGAAAGGCTATTAATTAGAATAATTTTTCATTGTTGTCCCAAAATATCAGAAAGACAAGAACTAGACTGAATTAGAAAGAACCAGATTTCAGACATTAGGAAAATTTTCCTAGTGGCAAAAACTGTTCAACATAGAACAGAATACCTTGAGATGTGTTGGACTTTTCATCTGTGGGAATATTTCAACAGACATTGGATAGGTCGCTCTATATGTTCAAACTAGGAGAATATATCGATTAAAAATTTGTGCATCGCTTTATATATAAAACCCTGTCCAAACATTCTTAGGGAAATTAGTTGAAATCCTAAAGATCAGAAAAATTTTATATTCTCTAGAGATTCATTTAGACCTGTAATATACTTTTTAAAATGTATAGTAAGAGGTTTGTCAGCCTTTTAGTGAAATGCAGTTCTACCTTCAATACACTGATTTTCTTTCATGGTTTACCATAATGAAGAGAAGGACTAGGGGAGACATATCTCAGGGGTTGTCACAAAGAAGAGGAAGTCAAACTATTCTT